AAAAGAGAAACAGCGTAGACCGTTTTTCGACGAAGCATCCGGCGCGCCATTTCATTGGCCTTGGTTCATTAGGGTGAGACAAACCTCGAGGATCGATGAAAGCGAAAGCTTGTCAATAAATGCCTGTAGTTCATTATTTATCACTATGGTGGCCTGATTAGTAGTCTGGTCTTAAGTGTCTACATTTTACTAGCGAGTACAATTCATTTGACGGCAATTACTTAAACCGATTGAATTTTTCCAAGTGATCTTTTATGGTATTATTGGTTTTCGTATTTCAGCTTTTCACCAGGACATCGATTATTTGCCCCGCAAAGACTTTTACTAGTGGACTAACATTGTGATATGACTGGTCGGTCCACTTGCACCCGAATCGGACATATTCACTTAAGCGGTGATTTCTGGCAAGTAAAGATAGCCGCGGACATATTCATCATTTTCCCGGTTACAGATTTCATAAGAATTACCAATGGCTTTTACGAATGCGATGAAAACCGCTACTCGTTGACTTACTAAAGAAAACGGCCACTTCCGTAAGGTATTTTGAGAGTTTAACAACAAGAAAGCTTGTTGTGGTTTCTGACACTATACTCTGCCTAATTAAGATTAGAAAAACGACGGTGCTGCAGTCTCCAGTGACTCCAAAAGTTTTCTTTAGGCTTTAGTTGTTGTTTACTTTTCAAATGACAAGGCTTATGCCATTCAATCAATTTGAGGTGTTGCTGTCTGCTTCAAAAAAATTTTAGTGTTCGATGGAATACACGGATCGACAAACTTACCTAACTGGACTAAAGTTATGGGCCATTTTTCTAAGCTAAGACGAGCGGGCGTCAAACTCTTTACTTTAGAAACACAAAATTATCCTTAGCTTATATTTTCACAAAAAAAATTGACAACAACTGACTGTCACGCTTGAAATGGTCACGCCGTAAGACCTGTAACTTTCTAAAGTGAAGAGCTGCCAGTAGTTCGTGAATTATGCAAAAAGCCTCAAGAACCTAGCTAGCCGTAAGACCCAGGTGGTGACGCTGTGCTATATTGCCGGCAAGGCCGTTTGAAGTCGAATGAAGAATATAAACTTGGTTGTACGTAACTAAACTAATGGCAGGAGCACTCGAATTTGTTCATTTTGCGGCTGACCACCCCTCAAGTGTTGTAAGGATTCGTAGGTCGTGATTCTTAAGCAATCTGTAACAGAACTTATCGAGGACGTCTTGGAGAAGACGTGCGTCCTCCGGATTCAAAATGACCACCTATTCAGTATGACACGTAATGACTTGGTGATCTGGTCATCAACGGCGCATCAAAATAGAGTACAAGGCCAGGTTTTTAAGTACGTCCAGATTTTACGAAATATCCCGCGGTCAGGAAAACTTCCGATTTATCTCATGCAGTCATTTTCAACCGCAGAAACGTCGTGTTTATAACCAACATTACGGCTACTCGCTTTTTGAGAGAGGAAATCTGTATCTCATTCGAGACACAGAAGTCATGCTCCTTTTTTGTGTTGCCTTTGAAAGGATGCCTACTTCTATGTAGTTCCTGTAGGATAGTCTCGAGAGAGCGTAGATTACATTCTCAATCTGCAAAAATACGTTGATTTTTGGATCACTAGATAAGAATCTACCTGTTTCGACTACCCTTCATCTTCCACTTTTTCCCTCTAAAGAACTGCTCTATTGACAGTCAGTCATCAATTGATAATGTTAGATACGAACAACGTTGTCGAGTAACCGATATTAATTTCTTCTTTTGTATTTACACTAATCAATGAGGCGAAGCCTTTAAACCGGTAAGTTTACAGGCTTCGCTTTCTCAGTTTGTGTAAACGTAAAAGCGTGATTAATTCACATAACCCTTTGATTACGTCGATCTAATTAAAATGGCGGACGGAAAGAGAAGTCCGATCGGTCACTGATCCTCGCAGTTCTGAGAACTTTTTCTGACATCCTGGATCTTTCAGGTTGCAGCAGTAATATGGCAATACACGTGGAGGTCGAAGAAGTGCCATAACTGCCGATACTTTCCGAAATTCTAGTTAAACTTGGAAGCCTTATACAGGCTGACGCGATGGTCCAGTCTTGCGACCTCATCGATGACCTTTGTGCCTGCTAGATAAAGCTTTGTATTTAGAATTAGTTGCAACACAGTTCTGCACCTTTAACATGGCATCTGTTACATGTTCTTCACACCTCTCGTGACCTGTTACCGTTCTTATCTTCATAAGGGTCCGCGATTAAAGTCATAAATTATTCTGTGAAACGGTCAGAGCGGCTAATATATAGCCCGCTGCATCTCATTTGCCTGGAAGCGTTGTCGCGTTTTTAGAGCACAAGCAAGCGTTAGTTCAATCATAACTCTTCACAATAAAATATGATGTGCGTGGGGATTCCCACGCACATCATCACAGGTTTATCTATTACACCGCCATCGTTTGTTTGTACCTTTGTTAGGTACATCAACGATTTAAAGGAATAATAATGATAACAGTACTAATAAAAAGATTGCGAATATAAGAACGCAAAGCCTAGCATTAAAGATTTGCAATCAAGGTTACAGATGAACAGTGGCCAACGAAATGCCAACCGTAGTGCGCGTTATATCGCGTCTATCAACAGACGCCTGACGGTTTACAATAATCCATTATCAGACAAAAAAGGTGATGGCACATAAAGTGATAGACACATACAAGGTAATGGAAGCATAGAAAACTACAAATACTAGTCGGTCTTTTCTAGAAACTATCCGTCACCACACCGGTTAAATATAGGGTAGAGTCGATTTACACCATTTTGCTTTCATGCTCATGGATAAAATGCTTGTAAGCAAAACCTTCACAAGAATGACCTCTACTAGGCGATCTTTAGTAGTAGCATGCAGTCTAAGCAGGGACTATATGACTCACCGTTACACATTGAGATAAAATTTGTATCACATTTTATCAAATCTTATAGAAAGGTGTCCGACACTTTACATTAAATACTGCTTCAGACGAATGACTTGAGCGTAAAACAAAGTACATTTACATCTAGTTTCAAAACCATATAAGTAAATAAAGTTTTACGTCCAGCACTGGGCAAGTACTGCATTAAACGACTGATCTCCAGCATGAAAGAAACATGTGTACCTTAAGATTCAAATTTACAGTCAGTCTTTTAGTGCAATAAGCGGCACGTAGTTAGTTGCTAAGTCATTACGGGAGACCACCATTCCAACGAACGCTATGGAGTTATAGTGTAAAACTTCCATTCGTTCATTACGCATAGATAGCATGTGGTAATATTTTCCCTGACCTAATTCATATATATACGTATACGGGTTCATACCTAGCCCACTTAATATACTCCTGCGTTTAATAATACATTATACCATCAAAAAGGTACACAGTGAGGCAGTATCGACGAAGCTTTCAGCTTCATCTGGCGTCCATTTTTTTTACCTCTCGAAAGCTTGTTGATCTTAACGACGGCTCAAACTCTTTCCTTACTTTGTAGCGCAGTACATGAAAACGTAGCATATAATATTTTTTGATTGTACAGAGCTTTATGTATAATGGAGGTAGATTTTATCACCTAGGTTTTATCATCATTCTATCGTGCCTGCACGGCGGCCTTTGTGAAGGACTTTGGGTAAAAAGAGCTTCTGTATCAGATGTGATGTTCTACACAGGAATAGATGAGAGATTAAACTTATCAAGCAAAAGAATCCCCATTATTAAGTGAATTAAGTATTTAATGCCATGAAGACTGCAAATGTTCGGCGATAGTTACCAGGTGTGTTCGAAAAATAAAACAGCTTGTTGATAAGACAGTTCTTTTAACTGCAGAATTATTTTTTTGTATACTCTGAAACAATAATTAGCTTTTTGCATTGACAAACCCAATTATTTTAAAGCATTCCATTTTTGTGTTTAAATTTGATTTAGGCATTAGCCATACGGAAGAAACAAATAGGAGAAAAACGGTAAATACAGTTTAAAGTACTTACTGGCGTTATATATCATCTTCCCTGATGTAGAATACAACACCTTATACACTAGACACGAGCCACTTGTACCCAAAATCCATAAAATAAGCAGCCGTTAAGATACGGTAAGCTTAACGGATGAAATCCACCTACGCGTGAAGTACCCAACATCCATAAAACAAGCAGCCGTTGAGACTCGGTAAATTTAACGGATGAAATCCATCTACGCGTGAAAAGTAGGACTGACGCTAACGACTCCGAATGCGTTGATGAATATATTATGACCCGTTGTCCGTCGGAATAGAATTATTTTTGTACACACCTTGTATCTCTTTCAAAAAATGGTGGACTTCCGAGCTTTTTCGAGTTTTCCCTCTCTTTCCCATTTCCCTTCGCATATTGAAGAACTCGTCCTTGTGACGAGATCGGATCATTTCAGATTAAATATGAGTCCACGGTCTACTAACAAACATTAGTTCAATATTAAATATATATACGTATATTTATGCTGTAACCATTACATCCAATATGAAATTATAGTTCGCACAGGATTTTCCAAAGCTTAGGTAGTAGCTTCAAAAAAAGTTTACGGAGACCAAATTTTTAACCTTTTTTGTTTTTGAAATAGCATGTATGATAAAAATTGTGTAGTCATAGATATACCCAAAGATCACAACGCATAACTGTGCAAAAGTTCGAATTACTAAACGAATGGGGTGTTTCATACAAAAAAAAAAAAGGAATTGCCGCCATGCACCATGTTTGTAAACTGACAAATACCGCAACCCACTTTACAAAAATGTTCGATTATAATTTTGTTATAATCCTATCAAATATACAAAGTTCAAGGTTAGCTTGCTCTTCAACTTGTTTTTTTGAGCTAACGCTCGTACATCTTGGATACGCTCATACCGTGGTTGTTCGGACAACAACTAGTATGCTTGCAACTCCTTAAATAGAGTTCTTCTCTCATAATCTTAGAGTTAAATCCAACATTTCTCTAAGTGTGACCAATCAACCAAGGACTAGTCAGTTATTACACTCTCAGCATCAATTCTCCACTTAAACTTTATTATAATTCCCTTTTCCCCCTATACATACAATTTAATAACCATTGCTTTATTCGACAATATCACACCCGTCGATCATATTTCACAGATTCACGGCTCATAAGTGTCGTCGTCATTTCCGTAATCGTTCATCACCATTTTCTCCCTATTTTCATTCATTAAAAGGTTTTCAAACCAATTACAGTTGTTTCAACTAAAAGCAATACGAACACACGTTTATGTGCGTCGTGGGAGGACTGATGCATACAGACTTGTAAAAGTAAAATACATAGAGGAAAAGCATTAGTATAAGTAAGATTCCATTAACCATTTTGTTAAAATTCTCCTAAACATATTTGTGAATAATGTTGCCATAAACTGATATCACTTGTACATCACTATGACAAAAATGAACCCACGAAGTACTCTAGATATATAGAACCACAGATTTATCTATATATGCAGATGCGGTACTCGATACCATATAACGCGAACAAGGAAAACTTGCTAACCGTAACGATGCAGACGTCGAATGACAACCACTGGATGTCGAAGGATGACGGCAGCGCATGACGTATACGCTGTCTGAAATAGACGCTTAATGACTTCGCGGTATATATGCCTGCTCCTTTCATACATGAAGTTTCGGCTCTTACGAACATTGGGAGTTTAAGTATCGCTGCGCCTTGTTGCTCATGTGCTTTGGGAGCAGGAGGTATCGCCAACGGTCCTTACTACGATTTTCCGTTAAACATTTTTCCACATCCTTGCATGACAACTTAGAGTCATAGCATCATCTAGCAATGATTATATTTTTGTTTGCAATTTTTATTCGTTATTTATTTAGAATTATAATTATACTTTATTTACATGATTATTACTAATGTTATTTATACATCCCCATTGAAGAGCCCCCGCCTTGCATCATGCGTCGCACATTTTGCTCAAACATTTTCCTGTAAGAGATAGGAACAAGAGAACTGTTAGTACAAGACAAGCGGTTAATCAGCTATTGACAACCTAGCAAAAAGCACCTGTTCGGCTGTAATGAAATAACAAAAAAAGGCGTTGTGTTATGCGACGCAGATTTATAAGCAATGTATGTTGGCTTTGGCTACTAAAACTGTGCTTTAAAAAGAATTATACCCTTACTAGAAATAAATACTGAATAGTGTCGAAAATAATTAAAAAATAAATTAACGTATTTTAATTATATAAATAACTATTTAGCTACTTTCAAACCGCAAATCAATCAATTCAAAAGCTCTATTGAGGTAAACTAATACTTGAAGACTTATAATTCCCTAAGTCGCGGTAATTCACATGCTATAACCAGACTTACGAGCTAAATCAACTATTAAGTATATACTAAGAACTTGACAACAGTGATCTGGATCATATATACAATATGTACTATGTGCAAGTGGTATATATCAAGCCATAGTAAGTAGATAAAATGAAACATATATTAAGCAAGCTCTAGAGGGCAATAAACACTGGCAGATTAAGTTAGACGCATTTAAGGTAACCATCAGCGGCCAAAATAAAAAAAAAATAACAAATAGTGCCGCATTGCAGAAAATAAAATTCGTAGCCTACTACATCGTTTAACCAGGCTCAATATACTACGTTTTCAGGAAGCAGTTGCCCTCAGAAAGACAGATCGTTCAAAATGACAAGCAGGTTCAAACACTCAAGGTCACGAAGAATCAAATGCTACTCTTTTGGCGAGCTCACGAATCACATTTTTTTTTAACAGAAGCTATACCTGTTGGTCTGTAGGACTTGTGCTGCATCCTTATTAAGAGGATCGTCAGGATTAGGATCGAGGAGCAGGAACAGAAGCCCATGCACTACCGACTGGACTGTGAGAACCGGCTTCCAGTCTAGAAACGGAATAGCATCGATTACAACATCAGGACAAAATATTTATAGACCAGTGACCATATATGACCGCGCCTAATGAAAAATTAGCGTACATTTCGAAAAACGAAATATGAAGTGTTTATGCATTAAATATTTAATGCACATGATACAATGGGTTCTTCTTCAGCATTAATTACACTTTCGCAAATATTCCTATACCTTCTCGAAGGATATTGAGACAGATGTTGCCAGACATATCGATATTTGGGTGATAAACCTAAAGATCAAATGGAATATACCATGTTATTAGTATATTAGTGCTCCAATATTCTACGGTATGCGTGATCAAATATAATAATTAATTTGAAGCCTTCCATCAATCTATTTCAGTTACTTGAGAGACGGCAAACATTCTGTACATCTCCTAATTCCGTTACAATTTGGTAAAAAATAATAAGCGAATCGAGTAGATAGGTGACAGAAGAAATACAAGAGAAACGCACTCTCGTCTCGCAGTGAACCTTTGGCGGATCATGAGGGTAGTTAGCGGGAACTTTAAATATGAACAGAAAGCGACCACCCTGTAATTTGAAAAACATACCTTGGGTCAGTTGATGTGTAGTGTGTGCTATATGAACTATTGAAATCAAGTTTACTTAATTCTCACCGGCATGTCCAATGAGAACATGCTCTTTTCAGAAACTTCATGCCGTAAACTATGTGCTAAATCCTCTGCACTACGTCTCGTTAGAATATACAACATTTATTTACGAAAAAAAAACAACATTATGAAGGCCTCTGAAAGTCAGTAAAACCCTTGTTTACCAAGCTAATAAACTTCATTAAGAAAAACCGAAACGCGATCTGTAATGGTTCAATGTTTGACAAAACTGGTGACCTAATTTAAAGGAAAATCTATCTCGACCAGCCTTGCGTGACGCCGTCTAAATTCCTGTACAATCAATATTTAGAAACAGATTTTTGTTTTTAGGCTTAAATTTAGGTTTGCTCTGAGGCGAACAAGAACGCAGCACACAATGATCTATGACCATGTAGGGCTTGTAACACGAATGGAGGACATATATTATTTACTGTTTATTTTATAAAAATGGCATCGTAATCAATATTGTTTAGTATATCATCTTAGTGACTCTATAATAATGCTATGTTTTAGTAAATAACATACTTTGTAAAATCCCTCGTCGGGTGCGATGGATAAGCGGAAATTTAGAAAATCATTTTTATCTGAAACAACAGGAAAGATACACACACGAATATGTGGGTAAGATATATTAATACAAACGTCTATTATCCAAGTCTGTCTGTTCGCTTAGCGGGATACGTATGAAAAAGGTCGACATTGGATATGTCACAGAATACAAAAATTGTTACACCCATATTTGCATCTATTTCAAGTTACGTATTTACTACGGCGTACCAGGAAAATCAATATGGCACCCCGGAGGTAGTTCCAGTTCATTCACGTCCTTGTTTATCCTAAGCTGAGCTGCGCAGGTCCTCTTCGAGGCACTTGGGTCTGATCCATCCTTAGACGCGTTCTTCGTTTGAAATAATTTAATCATCGTACCAATATAGAACGCCAACGAAAGGCGTTCCTTCGGATTGCGACAATCAAAGAACAATCCAAAAAACAGCTGATCCTGAAAGTCAAAATTAAAGTTAAACTATAAAATTATACCGAGACAGCTAATATACCGCATAATTTTTCGAAAATCTATTCACCTTGGGCAAAAGGTCAAATTGTTTTTGTCTTATCTTGTAATTGTGGGCTCTTTCGAACGCATCTTTGCTGTGTAAGTGTTGTACCCGCATCATTGTTGAATAATTCCAAATCTTACAAGTCCAAAATCTAGTTATTAAATTCAAATTAGTATATACTTAATCAGTGTCGATTCTTATACCATAAATAACTTCTGGTGTAAAGTAGGTGACGATTAACCGTGTTGGATTCATTTCTAACTTAATCGGTTAAAGGAGCAAAAACAGGACGTCTCAGATCGATATACTTTAATTCTCCGCTATTAATGACTACAATCGCATCCGTTAAAATTTCGGATTAACAGACAGAACGTGAACTCCACTATAGGACCAACAGTTTACAAGCCTTTTCGTTTGGCGTGTCCATCATTGCAACTGGTACGTGTTGCTTGAGTTTCGTTTTGCGAGGGCTGTCTTCCAAAATGGCACGTATTCAGGCGCAATACGAACCAATCCACGATATGCCACTAAAAAAATCGATTGCCACGGTCCATTACAACCAGCCCTAGGCAAAACTCACCGCTCAGTCACGAAGCTCCGACGTACGAAAGCCCGAACCGCTCGTCTTCGTGTTTTTATATCACGTCGTAGATAATAGACTGCATCTGACCTATCCTGTTTTGTGCAAGCTTGTGATAGCTAAAAGGCAAAAACCTGGAACTAGTGAGAATTGCCAGGATACGAGTGTCTTTGGGCACTCGTATTTGATAAATAAAAAAAAAAAAATGAAAAACCAGATTGTAAATACACTATGATTCTTCACTGTTCACACAGTCATGCACAGAAATACCATTAATCAGGAGACAAACACTAACCCACCGAACTGGGCAGACTCGACACCACTACAAACAGTATCGTAGTAGGCAAACACACAAACTCGTTCTCCTTCTGTCTGTCTATGTCAATAATAGTTCGTCTGCTTAATTGTTTACCTCTGCCCGGGCTGCTGGCACCTTCCCTGCTTTTTTCCTCGTTTTTTTGAGTATTATTGAGAAGTACATGACGCAGTTCTTTCTGCAGCTGTACAATACCAGAAAAAATGGCAGCAGCGCTCCAATCCGCCCAATTGGCGATGCAGTTGTATTGTTGTTGTGCTGTGTTATGAAGACGGAGACAATCTCTCTCCCCTGGCCTTCTTAATAGATGGTAACAGAGCGAGTATCTAGGAGATCAAAACACCAAATCACTTGGCATGGTGACAAACTACGGGCCAACATATGATCTACATTAAAAAATAATTAGACTGCTGCGAAGAGTAGCGTGTCCACATGCTCTCATGGTGCATATATGATTTAGATAATCTAAATATTGATTGAAGAAAGGAACTTATTACAAGCAACAACAAGTGTTCCGTGTCCAATTTTGATCAAAGTGAAAAGATTTTTGTCCAGAAACATGCCAGTTTAGCGATGTATATGGGAATGACTTTCAGTTAGTTTTAAAAATCGCATAAGTATCTTTTTGAACGGAATTTAAACTACGGATTCAAAATGGAAGCCTTTCTGACATAGGAAATATATAGGAAGGCGTCTTCAGAAAAGATACGTTTTTCCATTATAACCCAGATGGTGTAACAAACAAAAAAATGTGTCTATTCCTACACTTGTTTAATAAAGACGACACACTAACAGCGACATGGAGGTTAAGAAATTTTATATATCACCTTTGAATCCAAGTCGAATCGAAGTTCAATATGATAACAAATCTTTGTTCTTGACAGTATCAGCTTTGTTGCGCTATGATTGGACCTGCCGATCATTTACTCGGCAATAATTGTATCTGTAACTTACTGGAACTGTTGTATACTGAATTTGTATAGCACATATTCCAAAAACTCAATATATTCCCGAGGCAGATTGCTAGAGATAGCGCTAATTCTATCAAATATAAGTGTTTTTTAGTTCCATTTATATTAAATATTAATATTTTGATACAATCAGTACATAAAGAATGGTAAACAAAATCGTCGAACATATCATCAAGTTCTATTGTAGAAACGCATTTTATTTATATTCTACACATTAAAAAAAGCGATGACAATGTTATTTTGCGTCAAAATCTTTTCGGACAAACATCTATAATCAGTAAAATGCCTAAACATAAGTGCACATTGATACCATTGACGATTACCGAGTAACACAACAATATTAAGGTGACACGTGTTCCTAATATAAGCATTTTTCTTAAAAGACAGTATTAATTTCCAGTCTGTGGATATTCACAAATCGGCTACATAATAAAACCTATTTATTTTGAAATAGAGTGTCTTATGCAAACACAAGACACACCAATAGACATGAGTGGTCAGACACTCGGACAGAAGTATACCTACTTTATTTGAGCAGTGTCTTTAGTTATAATCCGCTCAGCTGAAAAAGCGTTCTCAACTGCCTAAAGTGATTGATTTATTCACTTTAGTCTTGGTTTTTGACTGCGTTTTTCTACGTTGCATACGACAAAGTAAAGAAATAATCCGACAATGGTTAGCCTTCACTAAGTAATTCATTTTGCTTTGTTTTCATCATTGCTTCAGCCTTAATCACGGTTTGCTCCACTTCGTATTTTACCTGAAATGAGTCAGTAACATGCAGTACAATAGACTTTGTTTGTCAATAATGATTGCATTATCAGCTATTTGTGTGATTTTTCTAACTGGATCACTCACCACAAGAAGGGAGGCTAGCCTATTTAATTGAAACATGAGATTTTGCTGTAAGACCGATCATTAGCTACACTAATACAGCATTTAATAGAGGGATCCAGTACGTTTAGAATTACTTCAAAAACTTGTTGCAAACTTGAATCATTGGTTGAACAGGAAAAATGATTATCATATTTGTCATTAATAATGATTGCGTAGAAATTAGAAAAATGCAGACACACGTATTTTAAAACATGTTTAAATAATCCGATTATTTTCGTAGAATTTGAAAATATCGCTTTACAGGAAGCGTGCTATATTGCATTAATAAGTTCAGAAACCTGCTGCTGCGCATTGTAGATTAGATCCTGTGATTGGCCGTCTTTACGACTTCGAATTTCCTTCGTAGCTCGACGTTCCGCCTGCCGATGTAAATCAAAGAAAAACTGTTACCACTTCAGCGCGATGCTGTCAAATAGAAGCTCAGTTTTATACAGTTACAAGTACGTGTCTTATGGCAGGAAAATTAAACTAAATATAATGTCCACCAATGAGGCTTTAAACTGTACTTATTTGACGGGTACACAAGCGTTCACGATAAACACTTTTATTCAAAAAAGTTTCTTTCATTGCAGGATATTGCTTTTGTTACCATGAAGCTAATTCACATGTATATGTAAGTAACGTCGCTATGACGAATAATACAATTCAAGGTCGCTTCACTGCAGGCAACCATATGTAAGGCATATCTATGCATACGAACCTGTGCAAGTTCATCTTTGCATTTTTGGAATAGAGTCTTTGCACTCTTTGCCATGTCCTCGCGCTGTTGCCGAGTTACTCTGAAAAGATAATTTCTGTTAAATAAAATAAAAATAAATAAAAATGGAAAAATAGAATAGTACATAGGCATCATAATAGCAAATCTGTCGTCAGGGTATTTCATAACGTACTTCGGAAAATGCAAGTACACGAAAGTAGATTCCTGTTGCATGGAGGCGTGCATGCCGGAGTCCTGTATAGCTTTCATTGCAGGTTTGATCGCTTCTGGGAACGAGGTAAATTGTAGAACCACTAAATTTGGCTTTTTCTGGATTTGTGCCACCTGAATAAACCGAATTGATCCAATTGGTGAAATCGGACTTACGTTTACGGCATACGTTTGTCAGCATTATAAGATAAAAACGGATAGTATTAATAATACCATACACTCAAATTTAAAATGAATTTACCTCACAAAGTTGAACTTCTTCACCTTCGAAGTTTACGATGATACTTTCAACGTTGGCTAAATACAAATAAATTGAATTAGTCTTAAAAAATGTTAAGTACGTCATAGGATGTATAAGATAGTCATTTGATTTATATAAAAGTCATGCATATTCCCGTAAAAACTGCAACAACTAAATGCGAATAGCTTTCAATTGGAAAAGCTGAACCGTAGTCATACATACCAGCAGCGTTGCTAATAGTTAACTGCTTGAGATAAGAATCGCTAAGATTCTGCAACGCACGTGATATACTATCTCGAAATAACTGCACGCTCATAACCTCGAACAATTCGTCGTCCCTAAGTTCGACTTTTGGTCGTGCCGATGAATGCCTAGTAGACCCTGAAAGAATTATTAGATGCACAAGAGGTTTATATAGACAACTTTTTTTTAAATGCTTAAAGCTTATGTGAGTGTACATCATTAAGATAATTTTAGTGTAATAAAACAACGTAGCGTATGTCAAGGTAGCGCAGAACATCAGCATATATTTATGAATTTTGCTGTTGGCGTACATCAAAAGCGAACTTAAACTTTAATATAGAGAAAGTGTTATCAAGTAAAACAAATGTAAATTACACATTTAAAAATGGATACCCTGGCGTTGCTTTGATTTTGCATATCCTCTGAGACTTCTGACTAGAACCGAAACCGTCTGGTGTGCAAAGTTGGCCTGCGGGAACTGAGAAGAGATGCTATGAGAGTTTGTTACGATACTGCGTTGATATGTTGACAAGCTGAAACAACGCCTCACAGCGCAACGCTGAACCGCGAACATGATGTCGTACTAGGAAGCTGAAAAGGTATTACAAATTATTACCGTAAACTTTTTTGCAAACTAGATGGAATAGTCTGATATATACACCTTACCGTGCGAGAACCCGAGGCTTCACGGCCTTAAGGTCCAGATTACGATAGTACGCTATCCCGACAAAAAAAGGGTGCACACTACATCAAAATTTTCAGTACTTAATAATAAGCAACGAACGTTCATTATCCAAAATATTCATATAAGTACTTTATAGTAGAGTTACACCCTAGGGTTAAACTCGTGACGATATGGTATGTGTTGTAGCTTTTACGTTTAGTTTAGTTACAGGAATGCAAGTTAGAACACAGAACTGCTTTTTGATTAGGAAACATATCATTTATTTATATCTCTCCTTTTCCTATGGTGGCATTTTATAGTTTAGAACTCTTTTAGAACAGCGTGTCGCATTTGTTTGAATTTTTCTTTTTTTAGACGCGATGCGCCATTGGTTTCTTACAACCTACCCCCGTTACTACGCCTGAACAACGTAAACACCTAAAGTGTATATGAGTATTTTCGCGCACGGTTCTCTCATGTAATGTATTTGTAATCCGAAAGCGACATTTTCTTAGTACAACTTAAATGGAACTCATAACTGGGTAACTCTTAACCTACAGCAAAACGCATAATTTTGATTTCCGATTAACTGTTTCGATACAGCTTATTGTAATAATTCTTCCATATGCACCTTAAAAAGTGGGGTACAAACGCGGCCCCAGCAGAAGAATTCAGCCTATAGGTAAATCATTCCCGAAATAACTTAAAAGCCTTCATAAACACTAATGCAATAGCCGTTTGTTTTCGCAGTAGTTCGTTTTATCGTATACGATGTCGATTAGAAAACATTACCCTAAATAGACTGATCTAAGTCGTAGTGACGTTCAGTAGCTATCATTACCACAGAATTAGTACGACTGGTCTTCACTACTATAACGAATATATATTTAATACATTACACGTCTTCTTATTACCTCCAGATAAACTCAAATCATGGAACTAATCACCGTTAAAGTAAATGTGCAAACACATGTTTGAATTTTGGAGCGGACCTGGCGAAGTAGTTGTATAGAAGGTTGGCTTTCAAAGACGATTTTCCTAATTAATACACTTTACGCTATAATGGACAATACTAGGAAAAGAAAAATGCAACATTGACAAAATCTGAAAAAACAGCAGTATTGCAAAAAGTATCGAGCACAGCTAGATGATTTTCGAAATCGAAAATATATAAACCGAGTTTATTCTAGCGATAGACTTCTATGAGCTCAGTTTCGGGCATTTCGCCGTGACTTTCAAAACTAACACGCACCGTTGTCGAAAAACGTGCATTTTTCTTGAAGTGAAATGGCTCGTCAACGTCGTTCGGCTTCTCCAATGTAGGTTTATGTTTAACTGATATTAAGGCTTATTATTGCAGCAAGTATGCATTGCTTTCCGAAGGCTACTGATAAAGTTGTGGGCATTTGTGATGATGTGATCTCCAGCTATATAATTGACCTTTTGTACCGTTTCTATTAGAATATGAACTTTCAGGTTGATTTACAGTGTAGGGGAACATGTGTTTGATCTAACAAAGTTCTCTTACCTAAAAAAAATGCTCGCGTACGTAATAATTCACACTGGAATATGATTTTATCTGTGTAGAAGTTTCGGGAACGTTTGTTCGATATGCCCACCCGTGTCCACAGGTATATACCTATACAGTGGGCCATATTGGGCATTCGAATAGTCTGTTCTATATACAACTGGCCTCGTTAAATCAATGGTTAAACCTTACGTGAAATTCTAAAGAACTGGAATTTTGGCGTGTAGGATTTACAGTACCAGAAATAAATCTTATGTAGGCATTGTGTTTTACTGTTTGTATTACAACTCCACGCGTTACATATTGAAATGACGTTAAACATACAAAATCATTGTAAATTTGTACTGCATAAGACATCGGGATTAATATTAGTGATATTCTTACACTATGCCGCCTTAAATTTCGTATTCGTTCTGTTTGCTATTCAAAATAGCGAATGTGATTATCATCATTTGTCTTTTATTCCCTGTTCTATTTGATGATATAGCTAGTACAACCAATAGCGTACTGTAAAACAACAACTCCAGTTAACGACTATATACTTCAGATTGAATTTTCGTCACTAGACGCTAACGCGAATGTGCTAGAGGACTGACAAAAGTTTCTCAATCCATTTTAATAGGAATAACCCAATACAGTATTTCTGTGACGTTACCAGACATTTATGTTGTCGTTGATAACCTTATTGAACAGGATCAGCTCCTAATGCTATAATTTTAGTTTTATAGCATTATTTGTCTTGCATCATCATTGAAGGGAATACGAAAATTGTAAACAAGTCGATCGTTCTTCTCAGTACGAAGCAATTTATAGATAATTCGAGTTGAGTAATTTCTCAATTCAAACGGAGTCATTACAATCTGTTCGAACTATTTTTTTAGCATTTCTTCTGCCAAATAGAAACGTGTCAACGTTTCTTCAGTAGAAGCTAGGTTACGCGTAATTTTTTCTCAGACACTTTTTGCGTTCTCATGCGATGTAATTCAATGTTAGCACGCGAATAAATGTTATGCTGATGTAGTCTTTTTCTGGTAGGCACGAAAAACCGATTGTAAAGCTTGCATAGTCTGCTCTTGAGGGCACTGGTCTACAGACCTCAGAAAGGCTAGTTCCGTTGCGTCTCGAGGTGTTTTTTTCTCCAACTTGAACCGTTACGCCAGCTCAACCTTATGTATGAGTGAATGGCGAGTAGCCGCGGTTCATTGTTGCGAGCTGCGGTTATCAACTACTTTGTTCTTAATTATAGAACAACGTTTCGAATCTTTTGGAAACGCCTCGAATTATCTTTTGAGAAAGACACTGACGAAAAGAAAGGCATAAATGTTAGGACCTGTGTCAGCCTGTTGCATTTTATGAAGGAGTAACCATTCGCTAGCTAACAGCGGCCGTGCAAAGAGCTTCCATTGAAGAGCTATACAACGTTTAGCCATGACTACGTGTGAGGGCTTACCTGGGATATATCCTAATATATATAAGTAGTAGCCGAGATCAGTGTTCATTCTTTTAACTAGTTTTAATCAATGCAAGCGTGTTTCGACCAGCTAAAACGTTCTCTTTTTAGATGATGCTAATGTATTATGCTTCAAAGAACAATTTAAATTTTAGCATTCGCTGTCGAAAAAACCATGCACGTGCAGCCATTAGTATCGCTACTTTATATTACGTCTTGATGGGTGACTTCTAATTACCTTCATACAATAATAGCATTCTTTTGGTTGATTTTTCAGGCGCCGTCAAGCCCCGGCTCCACCAGCAAAGGCTGCTCCTCCCGCCTTAGCACCTGCTCAGACTCAGGTATTGTTGGATTGTGATAAATATGATACGTCTGTTCCCGTGGTAGCACACCAAGTAACGTGTTTACTTGAACGTTTGGGACACGTGGTGGCCTAGGTTCAAAGTGTTTTTTTGCCGTCGCGATATCAGTTTCGAATTTATAGCTTAATTATCTTTTCTACCTTTGATCACAAAATTGATAGGTGGCGCATGCTCCGCCTGCAGCGCCACAGGCTTCCCAACAGCCAGGACTATTTGCCCAGATGGCCACAACAGCTGCTGGAGTCGCTGTGGGTTCAGCAGTAGGTCACACTGTTGGACATGCAGTGACCAGTGCTTTTTCTGGTATGTATTATAATTACTCACCCTGAGGTGTGTATAATTGTTTAGTAGGTTGAATTTATTTGGGATAGATTCTATCTGCTTTCTATTACAGCAGTCCATATGGAAGTCCAATATTTTTTTCGATAGCACGTATTGTGAAATATGATGTTAGATCTTTTCATTTGTAGACAGGCGAATTCTATAACTTTTGGTGCGTTGTATATCTTGTCGTTTTCGTGTATAGGGGGGTCCTCAGATGCTCCTGCTGCATCTCAGCCCGTTTCGCAGCAACCGGTAATAACAACTAAGGCTTTATTTACTATTTTTCATGTTATTATCTATCTATCGTTACTCATGTCGCAATATATGCTTGTTATCATTTTGAAAACAAAAACGTCTCCGAACTTGGGTGTTAATACATGGCTTGCCTTACAGCCAGTACCTCTCTTTAGAAGTAACAATAAATAATGATCTTTGTTGCACACCTATAATCCAAAAAAACTCACAGCATATACTGACTAATTTGTAATATCCTGTTGCGTTCGTTCCAACAGGCTGTCGACGATCCTTGCTATCTTGAAATGAAGCAGTTCATGGAGTGCGCTAAGAACCAGCATGATATCACCCTTTGCCAGGTACCTTATTGAACCTACGCTGTATTAATCATTCATCTGACACAGCTATTTGTCTGCTAAGCAAGGTTTGGACAGAATACAAATCCCCTTGGTAATTTCTTTTGTTTGGCCGGTAGCATGTCAGATTGATAGATGTTACCTTTATTCAATTTTCTAATCTGATCGTTTGCCTTCTAGGGCTTCAACGACGTCCTGAGGGCATGCAAGCAGCGTCATGAAATGCCTATTTAAATCAATCAAGTAACAAGCAAATCTAGCTTGAAGCTGAAATGTAGGCCTCATTTTTAGTTATTCGACGCTTATTTTTCGAGTTGCAATGAACCGAAATTCAAGAATTCGTGGACTATGAAAATACCCATACGGCTCAAAGAAGGGTGCGGCAGCGTCGACGATAGTATAGAGCGACTGAGACGATTTCTTGGATATCTAATAGTAGTAGAATAGTGCTTGAGTTTTGTTTAAAGTAGAAGTGAGGTAAATAAAAGGTCTTAAACACAAACAAATGACTTTTTGTTCTTCTATTTGTTATCTGCGCTATGCACCTATTTTTTACGAACGCTTCATGACGACTAGCATAATAACTTGTGTATCTTAATATTAAAAGTGAAATTCGCTAAATTCCTTGCCACAGGCTTTACGAATGATATTTCTGAATAGATCGTGAATGACGTTTGGGAAATAATTTCACTTCATCAGATGAGCTCAGCTTTTTTGTCGAGAGAAAATCTGTTCTCATCGACGAAATTTGCACAGTTCATGTATATAATAAAATATGAATATAATAACTGTAAAAACATAATATATATATAAAAAAATATATGTATATTTAAGAGTATAACATAGAATGACACTACTGTCAGGCAGGAAAGTCTCTAAAGTGCCTACATTAAAAATACGGTTTCTTTTTTCATGGGAATAACCCTTATTGTTGACCGTTACAACGATTTTAGCTATTTGATGTTGCTTAATTGGTTAGAATTATCAATTACTAATACAACTAAAGCGTTATCATATATACTATGTTAACAAGGAAGAGAGTAGCACCGTGTGTGTATGGCCGCTCTAAATCATTGTGGCCGATTATTATTGACTTTTTTACGCGCTTACGTATAAAGGAAACTCACAAATATGATTGATAAAAGACTTGCTGATAGCGAGGATTGCGCAATAGTTGATATCCTAAGATCTTGTAAGTTCATATTTACATTAAATTGATTTCCAGTTTCTGGCTTTGATCTTTCGGAGCATTTTGTATAGGTTATGTAAGGAATATTAGAGCAGCAAGAATAAAACCTGAAGTTTTTCAGAAGCTCAATAAAATTTTAATTTGAACTCGGAACTACTGGTTAATCTCTAAACTGTGGAATGAGGCACCCTCTTTCATGTACCAAAAAATATTAAAAAAGTTCTACATGTATTTTTTATATGTATTCAAGAACCGAAATACTTTCTGGTATTTTCCTGATACACTAGTTAAGCTGGAATCAAAATTCTGTGGGTTGAATGTTATGGGCGGTTCTAAAGAGTCTATCTTACCTACTTTTTTCAAGCACTTCGTATATACATGTAGAAATAGTTAACCCATTTTTCCTGTTAATGAAAACATCACCTGTGAATAAAACGACTTGTTGCTTTTAAAAAATGCGTAGCTTGTTTGAAATGACAATTTGGAGTTATCGCGTTTGCGAGATGAACAGATAAGCTTTGTTAATGATGAACTTTGAATTCGCATCAGTAATCGCTGTGCTACGGTTCGATAATGCGTAGCGCTCCCTGTCATTGGTTGCCTCTGGCAATTTCAAAACCCTGTTTCTAATAACAGTGTATATATTATAACAAGCTGAAGCAATGCATTTATGGCAACATAAAGCTGTTATAAGTTTACTATGCCGTATGTATCCTATGTAGGAGGCATGTTACACAGCTCTCCGTGCAGTCAATCTCATTTTACCATTTCATTATCTCAATCTAATTTACATCAACTGTCGGCCTCAAGTGTGCGAAGAGATTAATGGCATCTTCTGACATCGAACAGTGTTCCACGAGTAGGCGTCGAAGCACCGGACAATGTGACAGCAACACGTGAAGGCTTCGGTCCGTTAAAGAACGGCATCCCTTTAAAAGCAATGTTCGAAGACGAGGTACGCCCTGAATTAGCGAGATCAACCCCACATCTGTGATCTGCAGGGAATGACAAGACGAGATAGCGGAAGAGAATTTAACGGAAGCCAAAAAATCGTAACAAGAAATAGTAATTAAGATAGCCGAAAGAATACTTGCGTCTTTTATAGCGATTTTAAATACTGAAACTCTAAGTGTTTCGGGCAACTATTCTACAAGCTGCCGAAATAGGAGAAAAACGTATTGCTCCAAAGAAATGTATCGATTGATTGACTCATTGCTGAGTCGTATATCGCGCTTATGGTTTCGGGTCCGCACAACTGTACTAATATGCATCGGGCTATATGAGTTTTATGCAGAAAAAATACATATATGTATACAGATATGTAGCTTAAGAATTAAAAAATAATTAGAAGAGGACATATATATATATATATATATATATATATATATATATATATATATATATATATATATAGTGTTGAATCTTCTTGAGACTATTTGTAGGACAAAGGGACGACGAAGAAAGCAGAAAACAAGCTCGATAATCTGACGATATAAGCATTCTAAAAGTTGGCTACAAAAAGCTAGCAAAGAAAGGCGAGTGTAACGATCTTTGTACTAAAATGCAGGCTAGGTCCACTTCTGGTTGTAACACATGAGCTCTTTATTTACTCTTCGTATAAAAAGTTATTTTTTTTCATTTGAGCTAAAGTAGAGCTTTGGTCTAAAAACTATATAATATAAATTTCAGGTAAAAGCTCTAGCATATCATGCTAGCTAACATTGAGTTAATGAAAATCACTTACGGTTCATTAAACCAAATTGCATCCGGTCATGAATGTTAAACTATTGAAAAGTCTGCCATCATACCTGCGGGCACCCAGAAAGGTCGATCAATTCTAGAGACCGGTGATGAGTGGCAATACTGACGAGCGCCGCATCTGTCAGTTGACTAGCCAAGCAGAGCTGTAGTAACCTCATGTCCAGTGAACCGAGCCCTCTGTTTAGACTTCGGTCCGTAATGTCGACGGCTCCAGTAAGAGTGAGCTCTCTCAACCCGGACAATTTATGGATCTGCGATACACCGGCGTCCGTAAATGTGAGGCAGTAATCAAGATTGAGCACCTCAAGCTTTCGAAGATTATCACAGATCAGCTGCAGACACTCGTCGTCCAAACGCCGGCAATTTGCTAACTTGAGGACACGCAGTTGAGTTAGGGCCGTCAAGGACTGGAAGACCGTTACATCACACTTCGTATAGCTCAGATCTAAATGGCGCAGCGTGTGATTATTCTGTAGACTGCTCAATGCTTCGTTGCTGATTGCGGCACACGAATACAGACTCAAGTAGCGTAATCTAAAATCAAGTGAAAACAAATAGAATATGAATGTTTGTTTATTCCAAAAAGAGGTTATAATCTAACGAAAAGCTGTTTATTATCTAGAAGCTGCACTTTCTGTTGAATGCAATAAAAGTAGTTTCACACAAAACACATGAAATATATGGACCTAATACAATTATACAAAATTTATACTTGCAGGCTTACATTATGAGAGTATATGTGGTTGTTTAAATTACGCCATCTTTGAAGCTTTAAAGGCTTTCGACCATTTAGCATTAACTTACCACACGCGTTGCAAAAACAAGATCCTATTTGTTGCGTCTGTTGTACTTGCTTTTCTTATAATTTTTATTACCAATAACCGTAGCAGTATCTTATACGTGTGCGGGCGGTGTCATACGCGCGCTTTCGTTCAGGTAGTCTAGAAAACTAAATGACTTGCTGAATAACTTGTTCTGGCAAAACATGTTTAAAAACATCGATAGGACATACATAAGGTAATGCTTAGTTGTATTTCGAATGCGTCGACTTGGATATAACTGATCCACAGAAAGAGGAAATCGATACAGGGGATGCTTGTATCGATTTCCTGTTTCTGTGTTTCCCTTATAGCTAAAAATAATCAAAAACATACCTTCTCAATCCGGAAATAGCGTGGCATGCTGAATCTCCTATTCTGTAGCAGCCCTGAAGATCTAAATGTTCTAAATCCACCGTCTTCTTTAGAATGGCTTCAAGATGCGCGTCGTTAGCCTGACAAGTGCTGGCCAGTGAAAGCACACGGAGTTTTTGGCATTCCGCAATCGACAAAAATGCGTTATTCGTCAGCTGATCGCATCGATTAAGCCGAAGTTCGACCAGATGATCGCGGTATAACTCACCGAGGTAGGCCATTGCTTTGGCGTTAATCGGCGTCTGACTGAAATCGAGAGCGGTAAATAGACTTTTGCATTTCATCATACAGGCGAGTACATTCTGAAACGTAACCACGGTGGTGCTGAATTCGATTGCTTCGGTGTGGAAGCGTTTGAAGACTGCTGGATGAAATTGTAGAATAGTACAGCCGGCCAAACTGAGCGATGTTAGGTGAGGCATTAACTCAAGTAGGCAGTGAAATGATGCATCCGTCAAGTAGCGATTGGATTTCAGTGAAAGATGACGGACTCCACGTAGCGACTCTTGAACCTTCTCCCTTGAGACATTTTCCAGAGGACGCAACAAACTGTCTGACATCATTAAACTTGAACATCCTACAAACGCAGTGATAGATGAAAATAAAATTTAGCATCTTAATTTGGTGATTTGAACTTTTTAAAGTCGATTTTTTTTATTCTATTCCTTTCTGTCATTGTCTAAAAGGCTTCAAATTCGGTGAACTACTATTCAGGTAATCCAGGTAACTACGACTAATAGATTAGCACTTCTGGTATTGAAAAAATGTTTCCAATAAAAGCGGCGCATTAATAAAACGGTAACACAGAGCGAATAAATAGGACAACGTTTAGTGTAAAATCTTCTGTATACTATACTAACCTGTGATTTCAAGGGATTTTAGATTCTGGCACGCCCGAAGGATCGCGTAGAATACAAGTGCCGAGAGATCGCAATCATCGAGATGAAGCTCAATTAAACTTTCACCAACACGCTCCCAGAACGATCCGTTGAAGTCATACAGAGTGCCTAGGAACGCTTGAAACATGAAACATCCACAAAGGCGCAATGTGGCACTGCTTGCCTCTAGCCTACAGACCTTACTATGGTAGCTTACACAACACACAATTTTGTGTTAGTTATTTAGTAAAAGTGTAAAAACATTCATAAACACAAATGGCGTACTATCAAGAACATTTAGTTGACAAATATACAACATTTTAATGTAATTGCCATTTATGTGTTCCAGCAGCACCCAAATAACAACAGTCTCACACAACGAGAACTCAAAACAGACAGTGAGAAGCTTCTGGCTAGATCATACTAACTACGGCACCGTTTGTTAATATATTTCTATACCGTAAAAATATAAAACCGTAATTAACGCGACCCCACGATACAATAAGCGCGGCCGTTATTTAGTACTTACCATTAACTATTCGTAAAGAAGGATATGCCCTGCTAGACTCCTGCAAGGCTTCCATCGCCCTTTGCAACCCACCCTCGGCTATAACAAGACGAACATCTTCAACCATTCTTGATCCGCACAAAATTACATTCCATCGTTGGCATACAGAGGCGCAGTTCAGACGATCCCCAGGTCTCAAGTAAAGCAATAATTTCTCTAAAAGCTAAATAACAAAAAACATGTGGCAGATGTGGAAGATTGGGTTATTTCAGCGTCCATGGATATAAGGGATACATAAGAAACGTGTTCACACAATTTTGGGACTGGTCTATAATGCTAAGAAAACGTATAGGTTTTGGTAAAGCAAGAGAATAAGAGCACGTTTCTCAACCTTATTTAGCTCAAACAAGGGATGCTTACAGCAAATCATTCGAATTCAAGGAGGCTCACGATACAAATAGGGTCAAAGATTCCGAATTTTTAACGACTATTTAACTATTTCGCCTGCAATAATTTTTTATGTAGAACCTTAACATGCTCAAAGAGGAGCAGAACCTGCTCTCACGTGTCATAACAGGTGGCGACACGTGGGGGTATGGCTATTACGTTTATTCTTATCCATTTATCACTTCAAATATGAGCCCAACCTACAAACTACTACAAAGTCCATGGTAAAAACTAAGCCTATTTTCTGCAATCTTCTTCGATTATGACGAAACCAGGCGTCTTGAATACATTCCGAAGGAGCATAAAGGGTATTACGAAAAATTATAAGAAAAACGTATAATGCTGTCCGCCAAAATGGGTGCGGATTCTTAGTCATGATAATTCTCTGATTTACACGTCGTTACTCGTATCACATTTTTGTTGCATAAAAACTCGGTCGAGCCAGTGCCGTTAAAACCCTTTCATTCATCTGATATAACTCGCCGTGATTCTCCCTTTTCCTAAGACCTAAAACACACCTGGATGCAAAAACTTTAAGGGTATCGAGAATATCCAAAAATAAGGAAAGCAAAGCTAAGATATATTTTTGGAATTGAGTTTAAATCTGTTTCAACGACAAAAAAACAGTAATATACATACTTTGAATTCAGCGGGGATTAGTTCAGTTATCTGGGATTTGGGCTATTTACGTTTATATACCTCTCCTCTGTAAAATTCTTCGAGAAACTTTCATCTGAGTCCACTCTAGATTATTTTAACACACTGAGACGTATACCGACATCTGTACAGATAGATTTATTATGACATATTATAAATAATAACAATATTTCTATGTATGATTCGCAACTTTACCTCGTCAGGTAGGTCTTCTACGGAAGCCATCACTGGAGGATGATGTCACCGCTGAGTAAAAACTACTCAATACTAAAAACACAACATCAAGACGAAGTGTCTCAAGTAGCAATATCTGAGTACGTCCTCTGTCTGAATCAACGCTAAAGCCACTATAGGGCCCTATATTACTGCTATGCAAACGACAAGCCTATACTACAGAATGACAAGCGAACCCTCGTAAAGATTTTGACTATACGTGCTGATCTATATAAAGAAAGTGTTCGGCCAGCCGGACAGTATGGAGTCGAAACGAGTGCAGATAAATGTATTTTTTTCTGTTTTCATGTGATTCAGCCTGTCGCCACTTGGGTGTATCCCGTATATTCTATGTTCCACAGAGTAAACCGACTGAAATCATTTGTCAAGATCATTCCTTACTCAGCCAAGAAGTGCTCAATATAAGCTGAAGGGTTATGACATAAAATAGTGCTCACTTGAAAGAGGTGGCACAGAACATAATCTGGTCTCACTTCCCCCTTTTGAAAAAAGCCACTAAGGGCTCTTTTTGGGTAACAGTGCACTAGTGAGCAGAGAGCGAAGTATAACTCAGAATGATTCCTCAGTGAACATCCGGTGGTTGACTGGAATTATTCGGTTGCCTGACATCTTGCTGGCTCATGATTGTATAGAATATAAACATATTACGATGCGGCTGCCGATAACACGAAAAGTGGAACAAAGAAAAAAAGAACAGTTGTACTACAAGAGGGAAAAAACCAACCTTAACTGGAAGTTTGATCTATAATTTTTTGTAACTGTGGTAAACACACTGGAAGCATATTGTCTATTTACTCTGCTGACAATTTTTTTTTTGTACTGTCTAGTATAGCTTAGAGCACTCTAAGCTCTGGTGTAAACTCAATTATTAAAGCATCATTCGTCACAACTTGTTCGGCGGTATATATGAATGTAGAGGATTTGATGAGCAACTAAATTGTTACTATAGAAATTTACTGTTTGAAATGCGGTCGAAGTCTATATGCGACGTACCTCTATTTATTTATTCTCCATAGCCATACAGCAGCAAGTGGTACAGTGAAAATCGGCTCTACCATTTAGTTTGAATAATAATAAGTTTGATTTGCAATCAATAAGCAGATTACAAAATAATAAAGAGAAAAAAATTAGCTTTGAAGAAACGAAAATGCGAAATGTGCGTTGTTGAGTACCCGAGTGTTCTAAAAAAACACTTTAATTGATATTATTTTTGATACGCATCAAATTGGATTGGCTTACGAGTAAAGCATGCTGCTATTATCATGAACTAATATTATTAACTCACACCTGTAAGCCACAGATGGTAACTTAATTCTATTTAAAAAATATCAATACTCAATACTGTCCCATTCTTCTTCTAGTAGGAAAAGCGCGTACGGTTGTTTAAAAAATGGCTTTGTTTTATTTGTGCTATTAGAATATTGTTGACATATTCTTGTTAACTTGCAACGGATCCAAAAGAAATATCTAAGATATATATATATATATATATATATATATATATATATATATATATAAGTATGAACGGAAAATACACGGATCTTCTCAGAATGCTCTTTGACAAATATAGTTGCACCGAAGCGACTCCAATGAGAAATTATGCCTCATCAGACATCATTGCTTAAAAGCCTATTCACAAATAATTAATCACAATATTTCTTTGAGGTATATTACGCAGTAATGAATTCAGAATTTAACAAAGACTTCATAAATTAAAGTGCATGTTAAGTTCGTAAAAATTCTACTGTTCTGAGATTCTTTCGGTGTACCTTATGAAGCAAATAAAGATTTTTTTATCATGATATCATGGCAATTAAACCTCAGTATGCAAAATCGTGTACTTTGTGTATCCTGTATCCTGTATCCATCGTCCCATGAAGGCATCGAAAATACATGAAAGAGCCACTAAACTCGGACATTTAGGTAAACTACTGATACACGTATGTATATTTACATATATATAGTGACAAGATGTTCGTAAGAACAGCGTCACGTTACGCTTCTGATATCCACAGTAATGCTTTGTTTTGAAGCTAACCGTACGGGTAATCACAACAACTCACATATATATACCTAGATCTACTGCTCACATTTTTTACTATTTGAGTAAGATAAGACAGTGGTAGTATAGCTTAAAAAGTGGAGAATTCCGCTGTAATTAACAAACTGAGCAAGCTACATTCGCTACTTCATCAGTAACATTTAGTATAAAAAAACGTTTAGTAAAATAAAAGAACCAAAAACTAGGATTAGTGTAAAACCTATTTGAAAGTTTTACGTTGATCTGAGTGTATACGACTCATACCCGCAGAATGAATTTAAATAAGTCCTCTCTATAGCAACACGTTTACAGATTGATTCATAGATAAACTGCCAAACATACTTTGGGTACCGTTTAATTATACTCAAGAAATCATTGCATTCTTAAAACTTCACACAAATTTAGCTTGTACAGCTATTTCTTTTATTTAGTTGATAAAAAATTCAAGCTAATGTGTTTCGTTCAATAAGCATAGCTAATTTCTACACGTTTGCATTTTCACATCGCCATTCGTCGGTACAGTTTATCCGTTGTTGACTGCCTATCAGATCATGAGGAACATCTGAGCGAACGTACCGCATTAGTAAACTACGTACGTAACCGCTAGTTAGATTTAAATATCTAAACGCGAATGTAAGAAATATTCATATTATTCTTCAGTTTAATAAAGGAATTTTAAGTAGAAAAAACTGTCATGTAAAAGTGAAGTTTAATAACTGACCACACATTTTCGCATGGTTTTAAATATTCGGCGTCTGCATAGGTTTCGCCCGGGTGTTTCAAGGACAGATCCACATAAAATGAGCACTTAAACTGATCGTGACTTATCCTGCGTTATATAGTCCAAGCGTGTAGCACCAGCTATATATAAATTGGTAACGCGAACGACACCACTCATCAAAGATTTTACAGCATCTCAAGTAGTTAATTCATTTTGACATCATGTACTCATGGAGCAGCATTGTTATTTTCCAAGCAGTCTTTTCACAATTTACGCAGTTACGAAAAAGCCACTTTCCGCTTAGTTTTCACGATATACTGTTATGTTGTCTAAATAACGGTTGATATCAGTATCCTGTCTAGTACCTAATATCATTGGCATAGCGGTTTTCACAAACAAGTGAATGCACGTTTCTATATGCAGGTATAAATTCTGAAGGATACGAACGTTACGACAAGGATATGTGCACTGTTCTAATGAGACAAAAGGACACGTAATCATCAGATACTTTTAAATAAGAAATTCAAATATTCAAACACCTCGTTGTAAAGAATCTAGACCATTTCTGCTATCTTCACAAACCGACTACAATAATAGAAGTACCCATTTGAGGACGAATTAACAGGCATGATGTTAATTAACGTGAATATTACATCTTTATGCTACCACAATAACGGTGAGCGTGAAGTCATAAATGTAATAGGGCTAAAAGTCATTGCATGAGATGTGTATTAACGTCAGCGCATGGTGGAAATAAATATTATATACTCGTACTTATGTATAAACTATACATATAACATAAATCACATTGGATATTAAAAAACCGTTGTGACAAGCAGCAAGTTCCTTTATTCTGTGCTTTGCAGAGAAGACAAATTACGTATTTCGAAAGTAAAATAGACAAAAATATCGTCTTAAAGGAAAACAAAAGACTACTTTACGCGACACAAAACAGTAGTGAGTAGAGTTTTTGGGTCTAAAGCTTTATACACTTGAAATATTAGTATTGGCTTCAACGTTAGTTTTTTTCTTTCAGATCTGGATCCACAAAGAACTAGCAGTTTTAACAAAAACTATTTTCCTTTTGATAAACTTATACAAATATAACTCACCGTATCAAAACATAAAACACTAATTAAAGCACTGCAAAAACTGAACCTATACATGATTTTGTTCAGGTCTAGAAGAAAGCGCTATATATTCGGCTTTTGCTATGGCAATGGTTCTACCTTTCACCATTCAGGTACAGTAGCTCTTTTAACCTGTGACCTTTTCAGTAATATTGACTTGAAAGATATTTGCTTTTCGAAAAAATAGTCCTGGACAGGACGCGCTTCGGGCTAACTTTCTGCCAAATAAAGCACCCGAATTTCCCACACCATCACCCGCATACCATTCGCTTTTTCCAAAATTACCGTTGAAGCTATTTGAAACGAAAGGAAAGCGTTTGAGCACACGTTTCCAACTCTTTATAGAAATTTTGAACAGATTGAAAAAGGTGACAATCATACTAGGATGTTTTGGTACTGCTCCATGAGACGCTCGAGCCGCTTCTAGGGCAAGCTGATGCAAGATACGAGCCCGCTCTCGTCGATGAACCGGTGAAGCATCCACCTGCGAAATATGTTGATCGCCTTCTAATGAGGGCATGTCTGGCTGACTTCCGTATAACAAATCATCCGGTGCAGCCATCAGACCTCGTAAGTACGAGACACTTTCCATCGAGTTCGTGACGAGGTCATGCGTAATGTTTAGTAAGAAGTCGGAAAAATACGCCTGACCACTCCTTAATAATGACGTCACGGTGTCCTGCGGGAGACTGCGACCATCTAAAGCCGAATTGAGCGTTATAAGGACGAGTAAAATTGAGCCAAGGGATTCAAGGTCGCTGCGTGAATCCGATCGTTGTGCGAACATAGACATGGTCCAGTTGGTTAGACGAAGAAGCTTTGAATGACCGGGAATTAACAAGATGTTTCTTGCTGAAAGATTACCATGCTGTAGTCCGTATACGTGGAGAAATTGTAGTCCATCTAGGATGTGGCACATCCATCTCAGCACCTGCGGTTCGGGGACCATCGGCTCGAAATAGCCACGGATAAAGTCGAACAAAGTCAAATCACCGGAATGTTCCGTGTAAATGGCGATCTCTTGGGGCGAAACGAATACTCGCACAACCTTCTCAAGGTTGACGTGTGACGGAAATTGAAGTGCGCGTAGTCGCTGCCACCGATCTTCAACGCTGGTCGCGCGATGCAGAACGTGACGCACCATACGTTGTTCTCCTCGACGGACCAAGGCAACAGTTCCAAAATGGCCACTGGCACCTGGGCGCAGCAATATGCATTCAGACTGCCATGTACCGTCGGTTTCTGCCGCCATCGCGATATTTCATCGAACCTATGTTATGAGAAGGACAAAAACAAGTCAGCATATATATGTACAAAACATATGAAAGCAAGGGAAATACCATTCTCTAAAAGTAAGGAAGTGAGAGCTGGCTATAAGATTTCGCAGTAGAACATTCGTCCTATTTCCTACAAGTAAAAGCCATTGGGGTAAATTATATTTTTCAGTATTTTATCTGTGAGTAACATTGATCTACAAAAAAATTGAGTACAGTCTTTCTGTACGTTTCGAGCGCTGAGTGTACCGGAAAAGGTATATAGACTGGATTGAAGAATTTTACCACAGTCATGCTGATTGCCTGGTGCCTATACAATTTAGGAGGTCTCATGAACTACCGAATTTTAACCTTTTGCTTATACAGATGACCGACCATGTTTCGTTATTGTCTACTGCCCTATACACGTAGTATAGCGTGTTTATAAAGGTTCGATAAATATATTTTTAAGTTAATGGTATAGGCCAGATCGCAGCAAATATCGATGCATATATTTGTATATCCAGTGGCCCATACACACATATGCTTTTATATTCCGGTGTACACAGAGATACACAGCTAGATTTATGTTGTTGTGAAATAATAAATAATGTGTTTATATATTGTAGTTAATTATATTATATAAGGTTATTGTTATTGAGTTGAATCAGAGTTGTTAATTTTCCATATAAATTATAAATAAATATAGGCTACTTACAGTAAGTGGTTTCTGCAGTAGCAGATCTATTTATTAATATAATCGTAACGATTAACAGCAACCTCGGTGCAACGCCGGTATGACACTGTGGCTAGGAATCGACTAGCCTATCCATGGAACAATGGCATATCACTAGACTATTAACTTGCGGACAAAAAATACCCCGGTAGTTAACGTTTTCAAAAAAAACGCTGTTCTAAATTTCCTCGCTACCAGTTACTTTTATACAATTGCAATCAGTCTAATCGCACTTTTATTCAGAAATTGCTTTAATTAATGTGTTGTTAGGCTAGCAAAGTTTGCTAGCATTTTGATGGGTTACACACTTTCGACCACAAATAAATAATTAAAGCTCTCCATATCTGTAGTGCTTCGCAGCGCAATCAACCACTTGTTAAACGTCACCAATGCTCTGATGAGATCTACCGGCAATGAGTGAAATTTTGAGAGCACCTACTTATCGATTACTTGACGCGACGCCTGGCGGCGGCAACAGAAGCCGTCTTGTTAGAAATCTTCAAAATTCAGCAACACCATCTAGCACCGGTCGCCACTCGTCCACAGCTGCACAGCACAGCACGCCGCAGACGGCTGTAGCGAACTTTTACGTTACATCCATTTTCGAATATTGGCGACCTCGGTTCGCCACTGACACGACGATCGGACCAAGTTCTATGAATCGGCAACCACAACGAGAGAGATCGCTTGTGTTGCAGCTGCATCAACAGCGCTGACAGCGACACCAACCTTAGGGATGATACCCGCATCGCCAATGCTCAGACGACAAACTCCATTGATGTAGTATATCCTGAGACACTTTGAGACGACAAAATAATGTACTGACTAAATAGGCGGCAACGATCGTAATACACTGAAGAAACCAACACCATAGACCAAGAGAACGAGATACTGTCGCGCCGTCGCATTCACCACAATAAGTAGTAAATACACTGAAAGGGTGCTGGTAGACCAGTTCTACGTAACTAACTGCTAGCAGACGACAAAAACCCGAATAAGAACCAGCAAGGGTATTTCATGCCTATAAGATAAGTTCGTTTATTTGTGACTTTTAAAGCTGACCAAAGAGAGCTAAGTCGGCGGGCAAATATAAACTTTTTAATAAACTTGAATCTTCTTTAATCAGAAAAGCCATTTAAAGTAGAATGCGGGCCATATGAGAAAGCGAGTAGTCAGTTAAACGCTAAGCCCCTTTCTTGGGTTTAGGGCACTAGAGGTAAAGGTAGTTTGGTAAATTCATTAAAGTTGTTGAATAACTTTGTTTCATATTCATGCGTCGTTCTTAAGCACACTTCGTTTTTATGAACCTCAAGTTCAGCTTTACGAAATTGGCAAGATCACCTGAGCGTTTAAAGCGTTCAGTTGATTAGTCGGTCCTTCAAGCAGTACCCTGTTTCTCGATATCGACGAACATCGAGGCGAAAGCTATAGTAAGATCGAATTTGCCAAGACATCTAGATGAAAATTTGTCAGTACTTAGCGTCTTCGTGAAGTGTCATTAATTGAAATGGCACTGGTTTAAAAGATTTACCGAAACATACGCAAAAAAAACTCATTCATCAGGACAACGTTTGCCCCTATTAAAAACTCTAAAACTAAACAATTTCTCTTGAAATAGAGGTTTTAATACATAATAAAACTAACAACTGCCTATGTTATAAATAAAAAAAATTATCATAAAAACCTTTTTGAATTAAGAAATTTGAAATAAATCAATTTCTAATAAATAACACCTTTGAATCTTGCTTAGTTGTAGAAGTGGTGTATGTACCGAAAAAACGACATCAGCTATCCTTGTTTTACCGTTGCATTGTTCTCAAGCAGTTTGGTAGCTCGATAATCAAAAAATATACTAATTAAAAATATCGAGTTGAGCTTTGTGAAGATGTTTTCTTTAACTAAGGACTAAGTTAACAATTTTAGGCGCAAACCTCCCGGTCTCATATTACCCCACACGGGAAGAGGGGGAGAATTACAGGTTTCACCTGACTTGATTCAGACGAAATGTTTATTAGTGACAGAGACGAGAAGCCAAATGATATTTCCAAAACACAATTTTCAGGAAAAGCGGGAACAAAGGGCAGTGTTTCGTACACATGCGTAATTTGGCGGCGTGCGCACTGTAGTATATTCACCCCAGTGCCATCCTAAATACCTGATTTACACCTTCAAGGGTTCATCGTTGATGTTCTAGCTCATTTAATTCAGGTTCCTCGATGGTGTTGATCCCTAATTTCTTTTTCACAGAAGCGTAGCACATCTATAAGTATTCCCCATCACATCATTGCAACACGTCCTATGGACCTGTATTTGTTGTTGTACGCATTACTGCGGTAAATTAGAGGGTAACCTAAATTGTTAGGACGCTCAACGTAGTCTATAGGTTTCGCAAATGCAATAAGAAAGCGTTTATGAAATGTCACTTCAAGGTGCTACGCATGTATCCTGGGCAGTATGTATCTGACAACAAAGCGCCTATTGGGTTAGCGTGTAGTAAAGGAACTTTTTCTCGAGATGATGTAATATTCATCTTTGACATTTGTACGTGCGTTAAAACGACAGTAAAAATAAGTACGTTTTAAGCCCACAGTACTACAATCATTCAACATAATAACGGTACAGATCAACATCTAGCAATACCTACATACAAAAACAACGATAAAGACGAATGTTTAGATATGAATCATATTATTTCATAGAAATCAATCATTTCCATTCACAAAAATCTTAATAATGACAACGTGAAAAGTGTTACATATAGGTGAAGGTAAAGTTATATGGGCCACTCCACTTTTTGAAGCAAGACAAAGTTGGTTTTAAATTTTGACACTATCAGATCATCGATCTTTTGTTAAATGATGGGCTAGCAAGATAACTGCTTATTTTTTTTTTGTCCTCGATGTCTGCTGTAAAACTTCTTAGAACTATTATAGAATGTCTCAGGAAATTAGAAGTAAGTTACGTTTAATAAAACGTACTACGTTGTGCCATTTCGAACGTACATAAATTGAATGTCGAATATGCTCCATCTGTTGAGAGAATAAAAGAACTGATTGGCTCAAGAGTACAGGTCAGTTCTGTGTCTTCGGACCCACAAATGAAACAATACTGTCGACATGTTAATCAATTAGGAATAATTAATTAAAGTTTACCATTAGTAATGATTTACTCCAGAATCATGCAGATAGTAATTTGGTTTTGGAAAACGATCCACGCATTGCTGTTGTTTCTCCTCACGCCTCAAACACTGGCTTCACATTGCGCGGCAAAACTTCATGTAAAGATAGGCAAACGAATCATGTTAAAACAACCCGTGTAGCTTGGCAGCAAATGAGAGCACTGCTTTCTTTGGCCAAGTATCTATTGTTGTTGTTGGACGGACTTTCTCGTACAAAATCATTAGTGGCCTATATAACCCCACTTCTACCCCATATGATCCTACATAGTCGAGTTATATGGACCAACGGTATAGTGATCTTCTGATATTTTCGCCAAAATATATAGCTTGTAGCAAATCATTCAGATCACAAAAAAGGCTACTAACAAATATATTGGTGTAATTTTTGCTTTACCGTAGCACCCACCGGGTGTTCTAACCATAGCGTTAAGTTTTGACCCATAGAGCCCCACGGTACTCATATATTTGTACATTTATTATTATTTTCATTTACTATTACCAAGGCGATGTGTGACCCGGTTGTTCAAACTTGCTACCGCCGCTTGCCCCGATGCGGCAATGTGCCATGCCACTGGCGCATGTCCTTTGGGTTCAAAATAATACAATGGCCTTGAGTGTTCCGAATTCATCTATAATGCTCACTGTCAACACTACAGCATGACGGACTACGAGCTCGGTTAGACCGAGCCACCCGCATAGGTTCACCTAGGTCTAGTGCAATTGTCGCATCGACATGGCACACACTCATGCTCCTTCCTGAGCCTTTCGGGCGCGTTCGCCCAGAAACTTTTCATTTCTTTTATGAGCGACTTTTGCGCATCCGGTTACCTCAAAAAGTGCGAGTGAAGAATTCCGCGTTGGTTAACTGGTTTCGACTTGTGTTGGACATTATAAATCTCTTTTTCTGAATAAGTTCTGTTGCAGCTATGCTACAACGCGACACATTCACGACAGACCATTGCTTATGGTTTACACTGAGCTACTGTTCATTACACCATTATATATTACGGCCTTGCATTAAAATTATTTGAATAGTTTCTTACGAACCCGCCATTCGGATTTAAATATGAAAGAGACAGACAGCTTTGGCAATAGATCTAATCGAAACGAATTCGAAGGGCGTAGTATATTATTGATCATATTATAAGAATGGTCAAAGTAATCCTGCGGGCTATTTACACTCGTAAATGTACCTAACAGCAACCGGAAGGTACGTAGCTCCTGAGGTTTGTATTTTTTGCACAAGTCCTATTTTTATTTTGAGCATGGTGAGCGTCAGAGGTTCCTTTTTTACCAGGGATACAGGTAATCGAGGTTAAAAAATCGTCTTTATTTATCATTTTCGCTGTAAAATGACTTCGTGGTTCTGTAGTTTCTCCAGCAATAAGCAGTATGAAGGCATACTTTATTATCTTTGATTATCCCATTTAAGTAATGTTCGCATGGTACTTGCTCTAAGACACACTAACGTGTTGAAATAGTTTGGATTAGTTAATCTCAAGGCAGTGTGGAAGGCTTGTAGAACACGAGTGATTAAAAATGTACAGAAGCGATCAATGAGCAACTCATTCTTTACAATGGCCGACTTTAGCATAAAACAATTCAGGCATATGTAAAAAAGGCTGTACATAAAAAAGATCATGAGCACCCGTTTGAGCTGGCTAACTTCGTAACAAAACAATGCAAGCGGTGATGGGTCAATACAAATATTATCCGATCCAGCTGATATCTGGTCACAACAATCAGCTGCGGTCGGTGATGTGGCAAGCCTTCACTTACCAGCGATAGTAAGCAACTATGTCGAAAATCTGGGAAAAAACTTAAGCCGTTTAAGTTGACCAGCTCTACACTATTGAACATCTTTCGAAGCTCGTTGGGGGCATTAAACTTTTCATGGAGTGCTATAAACTCTTTAAAGCAGCAGTCCACGATAATAAATAGCTTTCAGATATCGAAACACACTGGAAGTTGAATCAGACGGTCGTTGACGTTGCGTCTATTTGTCAGTACAACTCTAATCCGAAATTATGCGAATTTTTTAATGAAAATTTATCGATTAACCAGTTGGTATGAATGTGTACCTATGTGGATCACCCGGGAAATCCGTGCGCCATTGTCTGATGCAAGTTAATTTATGCTAACGATGATAACGACACTGCTGCCAGAATAGAAAAAATTCGAATTAAACCGTAATTAGTATACACGACTTTTGCTCGCTTTCTGGCAAGATCAGACCGAATCAGGAGTCATTTGGAAAAAAAACTGTTCTTAGCTCTTCTTTCAGCCTAAAATCGTATACAATCAAAAGAACTTAATCTACTTTTTTTTGTCATACGCGTTTATTGTTTGAAAATTTTGAATTAAATTATAAGCAATCCAGCGATGGTGATACCATCACTTTCAGCTAATGGTAATTCCGCGATTGCGTCGCGCGGGAGTACAGTTTATACACTTGATTAAGTACTCCTCTCATGTGTGCGGTTGTCACGCGCCGATCTTTTAGCTACATGTTTAAGTAGTCTCAATTCGCGAGAGGAAGACAGGTCGTATATGCTTGTATATTATTCAATTGCTCTCTTGGCAAATCTTCGAATCAGATATATTTCACGTTGGATTACTATGTTAGAAGACTTATGACCCTTTCTGTGTACGGTACATGATCAATGAAAGGCGGAATTAACGGTTTGGGCTTGATATAAAAGGAATTGTGAATTCTACGTTTTCACTCTTCTTCGTACGAGAAAGATACGATGCAATCAACCGACATCAATTGGCGGAGGACACGGGCTATGAGATTACTCTGTTTTTTATTTAGTAAGTGAAGAGTAATTTTAAATTTAAATAGAGTTCTTCAGATACGCACAAGTCAATTTGAACTTCGTAAAGTCAACTTTGGAACTTTGTTTTTGTCCAAATCTCAAAAGGCAAAGCTGTAATGGAATAGCAAATTATTCTTTTCACTCTTTTGTTCAATTTTTACTGCATCATTAAGGAACAAGATGATCAGCTCGTTTTCCTATCGTAACTTCACCTATTCTAAAGCTAATGGCTATGTAGGCTTCATAAAGGTAATAACAGTTGGTCAAATTACATGACCATTTATAAATTACCATGGGGTAGGACCATATGGACCAGAGCAGACATGAAATCGCGACTTTAAAATATTGAACATGAAATTGAAACTTTAGAAATGTATCAAAGTTTAGTTATATTATTTTCGTACTCATCGTATCACACACATGTCGTTGTTAAAAACTTGTCAGATTTGATAGCTTTTTAAAAGAAGTTTCGACAGCTTGATTAACCCTCGTAGCTCATCTCTAAATAAGGACATAGGCGTCTTCAACAAGTAAGGACAAATAATACTCTTCGGTTAACTTAGTTAGCTCACATAATAAATTTTTTTTCAGGTAACTTTTAATAGTCCAGAAAAATTATATATATAGCTTCCTCCTCACATGTCAAATTTTCTGACGCAAAATTAGTTTCTAGCTTTACATAAATGAAAGCCAAATTTCAAGATTTAGTTGGGAAGTACAGTACATTTTTAAATAACAAGTAGTTTAATTTAAAATTAAAAAAATATATATATATATTTAGGGTTGTTTTTTAACGAGGGCATTCTTTGCATCATGCTAATGTGCCTCTAGAGCAACCTATGGCGAGTATCAGATATATAGTTTTTAATACACATTTATCCATATAATTGAATCAATGGAACTAATAAAGGTCTGTTTGTCTATGATCATCAATCTGTAGAAATTCAGTTCATTTATGTTAGAAGGTAATGCTCTACATAAAAGTGAACTAAAACAAATCATAACTATCCCAAGAGTCCCAATTCGGCTGACCCTACTATTATGATTCCCAGGGAATAAGCTGAGTCCGTTGTTTCAGACACTTACCGTATGGGGCCAGACGTGAACAAATGTTTTACCTCAAGCCAATATTATTCAATAATATATTAAGCTTAAAGAAAAAAAATTGAAATTGCTTCGTATCGACAAAAATCAGCATAAAGACATTATAACGATAATATATTTCAGAAGATATTATTTTATGTCTAACCAATGTGTCCGAAAAGCACAAAATGTATTCATACTGTATTTTTATTTTCAACCCGCTCGCGTCACCTCTATGGTATGTTATATGATAGAGCTCCAATTTGCTGGTCCCAGAATCATAACAGAAACCATTTCCAGCTATGCAACGCTTTAATTAGTGCTGTACTTCAATAAATACGCTCAACGTTAGTACGGAATTGCGTCAAGCACAAGTTTATTTTAACTTCGTACGTATTTATTTTTATTAGAAGTATGACATTTTATTCGAACTACATGCTGATGTGGAAAAACCAAAGCATCGGGAGTTCCTGGACGAACTAACAATTACACGAGTTCAAAGGTGAGATTGATTTCATTGCTACTTCGTTTGTGCGAGGTTCTAGATGTTATTTTTATTTCCTTGCACGGTGCATAGCTTTAATCCTCTATCTATACTACGGTACATTTGGGATACTCACCTATAAGGTTGGCATAGGCCTTTCAAATGTGTTTTCAAATCAGTTCCTTTGCATCGATATTTACCACCTTCTACTAACTAGCGCCTTCGTATTTGTCTTGGAGCCAGTGCGCATTTTTGTCCAAAATAAGAGGTCGTGTCCGCTCTTCTCACTTTTGTGATGGATGACGATTTATCGTTGTCGCTAACGGGTCACGAGCGCCTTGCTGAAACGGACAAAACTCTTAATTTATTTTTTGTGCTTGATAAAACAGAATTCTGTCTGTGATTCTGTATTCGCAGGTTATGGGGCCCTCGTGGTCATGACGACATATCCAAGCAAAGGGCGAACGCTGGGGCGACGCCGAACGAATTCAGGACTTTGTTCCGGTTGATGGAAATTTACCGTCGTGCTTGTTATGATATATTGGCTACGCTTTGTTTTGTTTTTGAGTTTGTCTTAGCGAATTTGTTATTCAGGGTGCACTGATTTTAAAATTGAGCTCGCTTATTTGCGCCTTGATATATATACATAATCTGTAGGTATAATAAGTATAAAAATTATACTATGTACTAAAGGATTTCGTGGAACAATTATCCATTGGCAAGTTTGATAATAAGAGGATATTTTAGGAAACACAAGCTCCGTCTCGTTTTCTTTGGGATCGGGTGCTTTTTAAGCGCTTTTCACGTGACGTGAAAACGTTTGCCGCTATTACCCGGAGATATATCGCTATTTGTCTATAATGTACGATAAGCTCCGATAGACTGTGTTCTAGGATGCTAAGTCTGTTCGTACAAAAATAATAATTACATAATCATTATTATTACTATGGTATTCCTGTTCGTTGTTTATTTTGCAAAACGGTTTGGGCGACATGGGAAAAAATTACGTTGGCCGCCAAAAAAAGGTACGAACAACACATACGTTGTTTAGACACCTTATAGATAGATAGATAGTTTCCTTTTTAACCAAAGTGTGGTCGAAAAAACTTGTGTTGAACCGCAGTGATGATAATTATAATAACAACAACGTCGTTTATAATAACAATATAATAGCTTTTATTTAGGAGTAACCCAACGCACGCCCATGAACGCGATAATGCTGCCACAACGATGAGGCCGCGCTTGTCGTTGCCGGAATCCTATTAACTGCTGCCGTTCCTGTCGTCGGTCAGAACATTACTCGTGGTGATTATGGAGGATAAGCGTTCGGTGTCGCATATCCGCGTTCATCTGAAAGTTTCGACACGCTTTAACGTTTGAGGCCGATTGTAGACGTAATCGTCATGCGATTTGCCGCATGTTCTCCCATCGTCGTACTTTATTTCGGCATCAGTCGCCCATTTTCCCATTCGATGGCGTACGCTTACACTACTGTGCTACTACACATATACTACGTACACACAGGGAAAGCAAAAAAAGCGTAGATGCTGCAGCGTCGTACGATACCGTATTGACACATCCGCAACTTGGTAGGCCATTGACTCTTTTTAGCTTTATTTCTCTATCGTTTTTCGAATTGGTATCGAATCAATAATCTCGTTCGAATAATCGTGATCGAATCGATCAAGTTCATATTGATCGTTTATTTTTATTTTTCAGACAACGATAGTGCTAGTAACTCTGCTGCCGCTAACCGCAATAAGGCGAGTCTTGTTCCTACAGAAACGTTTGCCAAAAAAGCCATACGAAATGAAGAAAGGGAAACAAACATGGACGAAAATGCTGCGTCTGATTGTTAGCGGTCCGGTCAAACTAGGGTCTCAAACGTCGCTTTCTCTCTGCGTGAGTCAGAGTGTGGCGGTAATTGCAAGCTATCTACGAAAATGTTTTATATCGATAGCTCATACAAGCGCATTTTTACAAGTATTATTGTTGTATTAAGTCGACTGTAGTGGGATATCGATGGAAACGCCAGCGGCAAAAAGGATAAGCCAGAAAGACACACAAAAAATAGGACACAGATGCTGGATTGTTGTCAGCAGACTGGCGAAGTGCTAGTCTCGAATCATAGAACGTAGCAAACATATGTGCCTTTTAGACCTTATAGTCCACCTGTATAGATATGTATACCTGCTCTTGCGCTTCTAAGTCCAACAGGAGTATGGTTTTTTATCGACAGGTAGATCTTACACACTTTATCGAATAACTGCGACAAGAAAAATCAGTACCTCTATTGTGAAGAAAAAAGGGGTCATTAATTGAGCGCTCTGCATAGGGCCGCTACGCTCAACGCATACCCACTGCATCTGTAACAAATCGACGTGTACACACATGTGCAAGAGTGATATTGACGAGCAAGAATCCCCAACGTACTGCTTACGGCGCAAGTGTATCGGAACTGCCACAATCTGCTGGCAATGAAGTAAGAGGCTCAGTCTATTCGCGCGCACGTTTTTGGATGTATGTCGACCAAAAACTATCTGCTGCTTAGACACGTATATATCTATGCATTTGTGTTCTGTCCGTTCGGGAGTGATCAACTCGAGATGCTGTCTGTGTGTTCGGCGTGTTATGCTGGAAACAGAGCTCGACTAAGGCCATTAGCACTCACATTGGGCTGTGGCCATTTTGCAGACTGGCCTCTCCTATCTCTGTGTTACGTGTCCCACCATGGTCATGATGCCGAAACGAGCTACCGCCATCACCACGTCAGCCATTACCATAGCTGGTGCTGTTGTTATTGTTGTTTCTGCTACAAAGCCATTAATCAGTCCTCTAACTAAATGGCTGCTATTGTCGTTGTGCCCTGTTGTTTGTGCCGCTACCGTGAGCTGATTCCGTTCCTACTGCTGTTGTTACTGCGAAGGGATCCCGACGGGGTACAATATAGCATGGCTTTTGGGAGCGGCGGATGCAGACAAAGCACAGAATTACAGAATAATATAAGCAGCAATGGCGGAGCCGGTAGTAGCAGTACATAGAGTACACATTGCACATGCTGATTCCGACTTACCTGTAGAAGATCTGGCTGGAAGAATTAGCGAAGCGGTGCAGAATGCAGTAGCGAAGCGAAAGCGACAATACGACGGCCACACCGGCGGCCAATTTGACGAGACCATCGACAGACGTGGCCGGGTGAAGTCCATCTACTTAACTGGTTCGTTCGTGCGTTCCTTTCTTCACCAAACGAACATATTCAAAGCAGATGGCACGATACGGCGCGCGGCATCAGAGCGGATAATGTTGGCCTGCGCGATCAGTCTCAGTCCATAGCTCTATCCGTCGCCTTATCTGCTCTATTAGTATACCGACATTGCTGCCATGATTACAAAGCTATTATTATTATGATATTATCGACATTGCGGCCGGTCTTAGAAAATATCAGTGGCTTAGTGGTGGCGCTGACGCTGCTGCTTCTATGTTAGCCATTACAATTTGAGTACCATCCGACAAGCAGTGTTTGGACGCGGTGGGTGACCTGCAATAGGACATGTTTACGAAGGGATGAACATTTTCGCATACACGTAGATGCACGCACTCACAAACACAATACCAAATGGACGGCGTGACATCCAACCAGGCCAGCAGTCAGCCGAACGGATAAGTAATATGTCATAAAGATAGAATGCACATAGGCATCACAATAACAATTGCTACAGCGTCAACGACCACAACCAACCAGCCATAGCAAGGGCAGCTGTATCTGTGTGTGGATGAAGTGCACGTGATAGCGTCGCGTGTGGCTGGCCTTACCAGTCTTCAGGCGGCCTTTGTTTCGTTGTTCATGGCGTTTATATAGAGGTATGTTTTTATGTTTATATGACTGTAGAGAAGCCATAAACAAGCATAAAATCATTGCCGATTAGTAACGCCAATTACCAGAAAAATCGATGGGTCACATCGATAGATGTATAATTAAAGACGGGAAAGATGGAAAAGGATCGTAGACAAGAGAACGCAAGAGAAAAGTATGAAACGGAAAGGTAGTAAGAATGAGAAAAAGAGGTACGCGGGATTAGAGAAATAGAAGTGAGAGTCCCTATGTACTCTGCGCTGCGTACTGGCCGTTGAAAACGTTTACAAACAACATGAGCTTTATTTATATATTTGTATTTTTTTTTTCATTCATGTTTATGATAAATATCAAGCAGACAGCCTAAAAACTAGACTAGATTACATGAATCTGATGAGACCAACCAGCAACGCCCCGACATCGTAATGCCTCGATTACTTTATATGGTGCGACGATATATATTCTTCGATGGATATGTATGTTAAAAAGAATTGTCATAGCATAACCCTAATGATTCGGCCGGCGGCATCCGAACGCGACGTTTTGAAAATTGCTAACTGCAATCAGCGACTGCCCATATCCATGGGCGCGGGCAGTTTTAGATCGTAACTTATTTGGGTATTGATTTTGATTTATGGGTACATCGATCGAAAATGCCGCGTTGGATTGGGGATCGTTCGAGCGTTTTCAGTAGTCTGGACATGCTTGTGATGTACCCATTCCAGCGCGCGAAAGGCAAAAGAAAAAAAAGTTATTTCGAATAGCTAATTCTGCACAGCCTGAGCAGTACGTGTTCGCAGTGCTAGATTTGGAAGTATGATAATTTCAAATGCAAAATTTAAATTGTCAGTCAGTCAGTCAACATTTTATTACATATACGTCAGCCGTGTGTGCCACAAACACAGTATTTTTTCGATATCATTCTTTTTACAAAGGAGAACCGAATTCGGTTCCGTCTTCCGTTTTGGGGAAAGTGTGCCTGAGAACTGGCGGCTGGGGGGGGATAAGAAACACACGCACAAACCTATTAGTGTTGAACAGAAACGTCAGCAGTATCGATCGTTTTAACGACATGCTGGTCGTGCCTTATTCCGTTCTTTCTTCCTGATACCGGATACTGCTGTGGACAGTGTGTCAATTAGTCTGCAGTAAACAGACCACAATGTGAAACTTTTCATATTATGCAGATATGCTGGGCTGGGGCTGCGTCGCTGTATCTCGACCACATTATCCGCTGGAACAGTATGGATCTGCTGATTATATGGATAGTAGAGCAAACCGTTGTATCCTGTTGGGCCCAAGTCGAGCACTGATCAGCGCCGGGCGATCCGTTTGCACAGACGTAGCTCTGTGAAAGGGGACCGCCGCGACACTGTCGATGGCGACGGTATCGACAATAGAAGAAAAACAGTTACAAAAAGAATAGAGAGAAACAAAGGCTAAACAGTTTTTGCAAGACCAACGAGTCGCAGGCAACATCGCTAGCACTCGACTGGTGGAGCTTCCGGTAGGCAATCAAGATGCAGCCAGATGGTCAGCCACAGTTAATACTTCAGCAGACTGCTTGTCGCCTCCGGCGCCGCCATCCTTGTTGTCAGGCCTGAGAAAGCGGCGAGGTTGCGGCCCAGGCATCTCTCACGGTCTGATCAACCCGGTCGCTATGCAACTATGGCGCTCCAACTTCTGCCAAACCATTCAACGCCAAGAGAACAGTGGTTTCTCTCATGCGTGCAGCTCACGATGGCATGGCCGTGGGCCGCGTGCGGCTCCCAAGACCGCCACTGGCAGCGCGTACCGGGAAAAAACGGCCGCAGTCGAGAGTCAAATAGATTTCAACCCATCCGCCGGCCCCACACGCGCGCACACAGACAGCCACGAGAGAGTCACCCCGACTCGGCCAGCTAAAATGCAACGATTAAAGATCGACGAAGATGAACATAGACAACGTGAGAAACGCAACAAAGATGTCCACGGCAAGCACACAGCTATAGCAGAGAAAAAATCATAGTAACACATATAAAAATATATAATCAATACTTTAATGGGATTTTGTTAGCCGTCCACGGAGTTAATTTGTCTTCAACTAAGTTGCTTGCCATAGTCCCCGGGTTGGGACTGTTGTGTTAGCTAAGGAGCACAGCTGCGACGGGCTGCTTGATATGGTTGCTATCTATGTTACGTTTGCTATTTAACGACTGGGAAAGATATGAGCGTTTTCCAGAAATTCCGGCACCAGTTAGTTTATTCAGTGCGAAAAGACGCAACTCGTTATCTCTTCCAGAATCGGCAAATTCCAAAACGAAGACCGATTTCTCATATCCTTCCGGAAAAGTAAACAAAATATCTTTCAGTTGTTTGTGTACACGCATACATTAATCATACAAATTGCTCAGCCTATGCCAAGTACAAATAAGCTCTATAAGCGCATGGTGAGCTTTTGTCTAAGGTTGACAATCGTTCAACCCGATCTCTGTATAGTTGCTATTTTCACACTGTCATGAGATATGAGCAAGTTCATCTTTCGCGTTCTATAACGGTACTGTGCCTTTTGTCCTTGGTCCTATAGGGCCGTGTAGGCGATTCGACTATGAAATCCAGGCCTGGTAAACGATCGCGACATGCTCCGTTCTTACTGAACTCACATCATCCCTTCATCAACAAAAACCGGATGAATAATAGGACTTTCAAAGATAATCACCAGTGCATCTGTGTGTGCGACGGGGATTAACGTCAACGCCGATGTTATCAGAACAAATAACATTATGTGCCTGTTGACTGCTTTCGCGCTTCGTATTCGAGGAGGTTCTGAATTTTTAATGGTAATGCTGCGCCCCATAGCTTGGCATCCGATTCAGACAACTGTCGTTCGAAATAAATGTCAATAGACACTCGTTCCGCAGAAGAAAAAACGGTGCTGTTTGGATGAGGCTTGGTCTCGAATGGTTAGGACGCGTCAGTTACGTACATTTTTCGTACAGGAAGGCTGACGTTTTCAATAGAATTAACGGGGGCGTTTTACCGGTGCTTGACTGTTACACCATGTGTAGGTCATGTGATAGGTGCACCTGAATAACGCTACATTATTTTGACATGTGTAGCGTAGTTGAAAGCTTTTTGCTTAGTAATATTTTGTTGACAGCGAAAGAAATGAGCTAGCTTTTTTCTTTTAGCATCGTGGGTAAGAAATCATCTCATAGCGGCTTGTGCCCAGTGAACATGGCCATGTCGCGCTTACAAAGTACGGAAGAAGCAGAAAAATTAAGCCTTGCCGCAACAAACGTACTCGTTAGTCTTTTATGTCGACACTCCAAGTATAATTCATTTCCTTTACATGGTTTCGCATCGCGGTCGACAATTATGCATTCTTTCAGATCCGTTTTCGTCGACATTTGGAACACTTCAAAGTACGAGAATATTGTGTTAGCGTACATTCATTTAGGTACTTATCGAAGCAAGCGATGTCTTGATTCTAGTAGTAAAAACCAGAGCCTTCGACATTTTTTTTCCTTTTTTTTTTTTTTTTTCTATATCGGAGTTCATTACTGAGACAACATATAAATGAAGTGTCCTATAATTTTTCCTCGAATTAAATCTGCATGCGCGGCGATGTCGGCCAGACACAGTCAGCGCTTCTGAGACGAGCATGTAGTGTTTTGCTATATTGTCAGTCATTTTATGGCTAGAATTGATAAACGAGATCAATTATGCGTTACTCTTGTAATAGTGAGACGTATAATCTGACGTGACAATTATCCTTTGATATACAGTCTCAGTTGAGCGGTCACGTTTTTACGTTGATTGTGTATCGTAGGCTCAAGTGCAATGTACCGACCATGATAAATACTCTATTTCACCTACCGATACCTAATACAACTGTGGTAAGGCATACGCTTGGTTTCCGTAAGGTGCAAATGAGATGACAGTTCGGTAACGAACAACTGCCGGAAAAGGCTTTCATCACTGGGTTGTGATGTCGCCCGAAAAACCCACCCATATCTTCGTTTCGAGACCCTCTGTAAGGACGAAAGCCTCATTAGAGGCTCGGAAGTAGATCCAACTGATCTAGTTAAATTAATTCTATAGGTGTACTTGGTTATTACATTAGATCAATTATTATCCGTTATGTATGTATTTCGTTTGTAAAAAAAAAACATACTTCGATTTCTTTGGTATCACTTGAGAATCACTGTTTTCTCGAGCTTGTTTTTTTCATATTCACAAACATATTGGTTCGATAGTTTCAATGCACGAGGATAATTAGAATAATGATTCGATATTATGAGATAAAAACAGTATACTTTATTGCAATGGGGACCACTTAAGCTAGTTTAAAGCTACTTATCAGTAGGTTCTCATAATATGTTTTTTGTTGTCTTTACTCAAGAACTGACAGATGTCCACAACAGATAAGTTCTTCGTTCGAGATTGTACACCACACCGGACACCCAATAAACGTCGAAGCCACTTTCGTTACAAGAGAGACAATACTGCCAGACACCGTATGTGTCCAAGTATTACTCTTACTTGTTTAAACGGCACGGGCATTATCATTGCTGGCTCGTTATGCCAATAGGGATCGAAAATATGACTAGGTACCATAGCGTGCCCTTATCATCGTATATCAAAAGATCGTCTATGTCTAATAGGCCCTCTGCTTCATCAATATCCGATATTTAATTGGCACCTTATCATTGTGAACCTAAATTGAATTTAATCGCAAGTTGTGTGTGCGTGTACCTATTTTTTTCTTTTCAAATGTGATTAATATTCTGCCTCTGCTGGTGTTCGTTCATACCCCCAATTCGAACTCAGTCATCCCCTATTTACAGATTACTCTATTCGACCTTAATTTCCCATACGCCTCTAATTATTTTATATATAATGACAATAACTAGACAATGATGTCTGCCGCTGTTATCAGAGCATCAAAAAACAGTACACGCATTCGATTGAGAAATTCTCACCGAGATTCGTTTTATCCGAGCAAATTATTTTTGTTCATTTTTCGTCTGCCGTTCTACTCATTTCGTCTGCTGCTATAATTTAATGAACGGATGATACAATAATATAGTTTCTTTGGCCTTTGATTTTTCGGTGAAGAGCGTCATCGTCGACGGATCGCTGTCAATAGGGCAGTCGGGCGGCGCGTGTAACATGCGCGTTTCGGAACTGTAAACTGGGGCACAGGCCAAAAAAAGCTCTCGTATTAGTACAACTTATGCCGCATATGTTACACACGTACTAGATAACACCGGGAAAATAAAGCGTTTTCGAATGGATTAATGATAACATTATACGTGCTGAACATAGAATGGGAGAAATTGCTACAAATAAAAGAGGCTATGTTTATTTTTTGCATGATATTCTCAAATCCTGTGCATGCACACATTGACACGTGCCAGTGAAAACAATATGTCCTTTAATTATTCACGAAGGTTCATATTGCGTTATTTTAATTTTGTGCCGTTGATGATAGCGGTGCCGTTGCAACTTCGTTTACACTAATCCTGCGCCCAGTAGACTGCGTATGCTATACAATGACAAAAGAGTCATCGACTTCAAACAATTGGTGATGTGTAGTTTAGCGGCACTGGAATCTGCGATTAAAATAATTTCCTTCGTATTATAGGCCCGTCCAAATTAGATAAAGCCGAAAAACGTAAGCGTGTAGTGTAGGAGGCACGACCCGATCTTGGTCTAACATGGTCTAATTTCATTTTAGGTGAGGTACAGATTTTTCCTAAGCTTCGATCGATAGTGAAATGTAGCAACCCTCAGACGAACGAATGAAAAAGGTAAACATACAAGCGATGCAACTACCCACAGAGGTCTATATTTGAAACTATGTGATCGAGACTATAGATTTGTTTAGAACATCTTTTTTTCTTGCTCAATCTACCTCTCCACATAGACATACAGTTAATCAATTAGTCAAACGTTTTTCTTTTGTGCATTGTCTATCAGGCTTCATAGATGCAAGCATATATTCCATTGGTTAAGTGAGAGGTGCAAATAGTAGGCACTATGTTCGCTCGAAACATTTTGACACAAACGAATTCAGCCTGGCAAATAGCATTCTATGGGAGAATGATATATACACATGAAGAATAACATTGTATATGCAAAGCTTTTAACAAATTCAAGTTTAGACATGCACGCCTCAATAGACAGTGACCATGTACAGAGATCTTTTTCTCTTTATTCGACACGATGTGGAGCGAAGTCGTAGTCCAAATGGATCCGTAATTGCGTTCAAGATTAATCTACAACCCCCTACTCCTTGACGCAAGAATAAAAATCCCAGTCCACTTAAGAAGACAGGTAGCGCAAATACCCTTCGAGCTATTGAGTAGTTGTCCATATGCGTGTCATTCCCTATGATAAATATTCTGCTAGGCTCGCAAATTTCCCATATTTTCGCCAGCCAAGCTAGCCTTCAGCGGGGCCTCAAATTGATATTCTATTGGTTATATGTCAACGACATTTTTTGATTTTAGCAGCGCGTTACGCTTTTATGTCGGACGGTAGCTCACCATGAACAAATCGAAGTTCCAACTTCGACATGCCTCACGGAACAGTCGCTAATGATTGTTAATCAGCGTGACCGAGTATGCCACTGTATTGATTGTGTGAAAAATCGGGCTGAAGTAATGCGGAAAACAGCTGTAATATAGTGTTCCTTTTAGGTAGCATGCGTCCCTAGAGACTGCGCTAGAAACTGTATGATACTCGAAGAAAGTTGCTCAGAGTGACAGGACGAGACTACTGCATGATACGATGAAGCATAATACGATCGGAGAAAATAGTTGGCCCTGGTTATTATCGCCAATATTTGCGTAAATAATGCAAAGATAAAAAAAATACTCAAATGCAAGATGCAATACTAGAACTTCCGTATAAAATGGCTAGCCAATTCTTCTCTATTTATCCAGGATTTCGGCTAGTCACCGTTTTAGGTCAACAATCAATCGAAAAGCGTTTGTCGGAAGTCATACGACAAAAAAGGCCAACCAGCCAACCACACTTTGTACTTTAAGTTATGTCGATGATGCACTTATCGGCAAAATGGATTTTATAAGACGAATCATCCTTCACTCTCGAATACAGTCGTATTAAATACTTGCTTCATTTCTAGCTCCAGCCGCACATGTTCGCAGCAGCGATAAATGTTTGCTGCCCGAAAAGAGTGACTAGCGTTTACCAGCGAGAGGTGCGGCGTTGAGATAAGTTCGGTCATGCTTTCCTCTTACCTAACATTCTGTCATTTAACGCTTAGGCTGAGAATCACCCTAAACCCAATATGCTGATGTATGGTTAGGCCTAGTCCATAGCAAAAAGGCTCTAATTGCAGCTGTGACGGTACACGCCAACCCTTGGCGACCATATCGTTGTCTATTGTTGAAAGTTACTGCAGGAAGTATTTATCTAGCGGCTAACCAGCCTCGAACGTCAGTGCGGAACGGCGGTTACGAGAGACACGAATGCACCGAACTCTTTCAGCCAACAGTCTGACGAAATTTTTTGGATACGCTTGTGAACGTATACAGACGACGTTGTCGGTTTTATCCAGTTGATATAGATAGACGATTGTTCAAAAGTGCTTCTCATCCCGAACTCGTAGTCATCCTGAATAGAGACAGACGCAGACACTCAAGCACTGCTAGCAACAACTGTGTCGTCACTGCCGGGCTGCTGTCTGTGAAAGGGCATCAACGAATTGAGTTGTTGAGATGGATCAAAGCACGCGCGAAACGAGGCGAAAACGCCCTATAGACATTGCTCGCCTATTTTACCAGGTCTACTCCACGGTGACATAGGAGATGGTCAAAGGACGGCCACTACTTGTCGAAATCGGCATCATTTGCAATTAAATGTTAGTAGTAGAGACCTTGTAAAGCCCGCTGGCCACAATGCTACGAAAACAACAACCGGAGCCAAAACAAAGGACATAAATAACAACCAATTGTTCTTGATGAGAGAATTAGGTTACTTTAGCTAACTGTGTGGCCTAAGAGCAAAGCCTCGGAAATCTTGTTTTTCCGCGAACAACGTCTGTCAGCGCGAACACTGTGAACGTTTTCAGTATTTGAGCCGATTGCATCTATTCTCGGCCGTGCAGTTTGTGTTGAATGGCAGCTTAAGGGCTTCCAGTTGTGCTTGTCGCGGCTACCCAAACGTAGTTCCTTATTCTCTATTGAGATATGCCAGTGGTAATCAGAAGCATTTCTTCATAGGAGTAACGAAACTACTGCACCAGCTCAAGTTGGTATGTAGTAAAAAGGACATGAAAAACTTTACGAAACGTAAATTTTCTCAACTCAAGGGCGACGACTGTTATATTGTTGTGCAGCGGGTGGACGAAAATGCCTCTTTGCAAAATGTTTCCGAATGTGGAGATTAGCAGCAGATACGTCTGCCTGGACATCGCAGATTGGCGTAGTGCAATCACTTCTATATATACGTATATGTAACTAGTCTGTAAACAAACGGCGTTTATTAAATAGACACATGAGAGAATACATCCCTGTTTGCGGGCTTGTTAAGTTATGTCAAATTGGAGGTTCTGATGTGTACGATTGACGAAAGTTCCGATCTGAAAAGTAGCTCCATCGCAACGAGGTGCTGTATGCTTTTCGGTTTTGTTTTTTTATCGGAAAAATAAGGTATATTCATTGGACTCAACTCATAATATCAATATTCAAGAGACCATTCTAACCCTACTCAAGTCTATATATAGAAGATTTACGACTACAGGTATCGAGTCACACAGTATAGACAATTTACTAAACGAAGATGTCAGACTCATACGACGTCGTTGAAGTTTTTTTGCCGTATACGGTTCGGGTTTGCAAAAATTGGTCGGACTGCATGTTCCTTCTGTTTCCTAATTTTCTAAGGATATGCATAAGTGACAAAGTAAAGGATGATTTAGTGGCACCGCTCGCGGCTTAAATCAACAGAAGTGTCGAAGGCATAATTACCCCATCACCAGTTTGTCACAACTAATTGTTAATCTAACACTACTAATCTATAATCTGTTTTGATTTGCCTCGAGTGCCACGTTTAATACCTAAGGATTGATAGGTATTATTACGATATTTTTAGAGTAGTAATAATACTAATTCTAACTATGACACAGTTTTTAATGCTGACTGCATTATTTAAAAAGAGGTTGTATCAACCCAGTTAATCAATGGTTGTTTTTTTACGTCAAACAAGCGTGTGATTGTTGATGTTACTTTCATTCATTCAAAAGTAACGCTTTCCCGTTGGAAAGCATATTTAGGAGACTAAGTAATAATAGATAATAGTTGCTTTAAACTACGCGAAATGAGTGAAAAGAAGTAGGGCAGAACAAAAACCAACACAATCCATTGACAGCAGTAGTTACCGGTGTAGTCCCGTCCAGCATAGGACGTATAAACCGACGCAATTACTTATTCAATGCAATATCACATGTATCGATGGTCTTCGAGCGATACGTAAAAATCGTTCCGACTAACTGCGTGCATACGAGAATAGCTGGGAGTCAATTTAAGACAACGTATTTGTATGTTGTGCTAATGGAAGACGTCAGATACGACCTACGTCTGATTTAAGCTCTGAAGAACAGAGAACGAGGACCCCCCAGGGTGAGATAACGGCTAGAAAAAGCAGCAAGAACGAGAAGGCGAGGGCAGGCAGAAAACGGGGACGAAGCACAAAAAATAAAATAGGTGTAGGAGCCAAAGTCGGTAATAACTACAGAAAAGGGTACGTCCGAACGTAGGAGGAGGCAAGTATAAGACCATAAAGCACAGTAGAACATAATCGTAACACAGAGCATCGAAGAGGGAGAAGGCGAACAAAAGGAAGACCAGGGTAGGACAACAAGCCTGCGATATCTTCCCTGGCGACGGACGATGCTTACGGCCGCCTCTATAGTTGTTCCTTTTGTTGCTAATGCTGGTACCGAAACTTTCACAATTGAGACTTTCACAAGAGATAATTTTCGCCGCTGTTCTGTTGATCCCATTGCCGAATAGGGGTTTTGTTGGGGGTAACGAAAGCGGCGGTAATGGTAGCTTGTGCTAAGTAGCGCTAGTATGGGAAGAAAGAGAAGGCCTATTCTATACCTACTGGCAGGCGAAACCAAAGCGACCAGCACACTGAAACCACTATCGATGTGGCCGATGCTATTGCAGCCGCAGCAGGCGCATTAAAGAACGAGCAAGAGACAATGAACCACTGGACCTTCACGATGATGATAGCGGCAGCGGACGGTTTCAGTCAAGAGTTGATAATCACCCGGCTTCTTTCTCAGGTTATGCTTGTTAATGCTGAAAACCTTCTTCCACCGCGGAGCAGTAGCTCAAACAACGATTCTAACAAGACGCTATCAACGATGGCGTTGATGACGATAAATGTCAGTTTTCACAGGTCGAAATGGGCACCATGACTTCGAGTGTTAGAACTGTAGAGTGAAAGCAAATATTGTCTTTGCCATTAAAAGCTTGCTATAGCGATCATAAGTCATTAGCCAGTACACGATGTCGGAAACAGGTATGGAACCAATGGGCAAGAGAAGAGTTCGGAGCTTTTTGATACTGAAAGACAATCTCCTATATGATCCGGCAATAACAGAAAGATGAGATAAAAGACGGAAAATTTTTAAATAGATGGGAAAGACAACCTCATCGACGACCTCCGAGAGCCTACCAGATGATAATGCGGCCATTACCGACAGGCAAATGTTATACCCTATATCCAATTGGTGTACTCGAAAAAAAAAAATAATACGAATAATAACAATTACGAAATGTCGGCGCTCTGTCAGGAAGAAAACGGTGAAGACCGAGCTTCCTTGATTGGTATCAGTATTAATTAACTCCGGTTCGTGTGCACGTTCCATAGTCACCTCCACGCGGATTGGCAAGCCGTTCGCGTTTTTAGGCTCATAGGTAGCCGGTGAATCAGCATGAGATGTTCATTTGCGCCTTATAACCAGCACCAAAGTACGAAACGCAACGTTGCAGTTCATGCTGATTATAATAATTGATAATAATTGATATTATATACAATTAATAATAATAAATAAATAAAAAAAAAAATAAAAAATAATACAACAATAATTGATTGCGTATGTTGAACAACAACCTAATCCGGCTTGACATTGGCCCAACACTGGACAGTTATGGTCAAGCAGTTGCGCTACCTATTTTGCAGAAACAGTCTTAGTGTTTCCATTGAAGAATGCTAATCAATTTCTGCCTCGAAAGTCAGAAGTTAAAAATTCTTCAGCTATTTACCTACGTGTGCAGTTTTCCTTAAGGACTGCGTGTTAGGCTGAAATGAAGCTGTTGTCCCTGTCATTATACGTTAACAGCGGTTATAATATACTGGCGAGGTCAGCAGTCAACAGGTAAATGTGCACTTTTCTAAATCGTGCTTATCACCGAGAGAACCAGCGGTGGAACCTGCGATGGAAGCGCCGAGAACTACGCAAAGCGTGTTGGTAATCGTAGCCGTTGCTGTTATCATTGGCACTATACACTTCACCATCGCTGAAGCTCTGTATCTACCTGTGCATACGAGAATAAGTCCAAGTTTTAGAATAGACTGTTCTTAGCAGGGTGGTGCTATTGTTCAGTCGTTTACAACGGCGAGCACAAGCATACGCACACGCTAGTTTATCCTTCGGCTCCGCTGCTCCTGCCGCTACGGCCACGTGCAGTATGAACAACAAACGCTAACGACGATAATAGCAAATACAGTGGTACCCACTTATGTAACAACGGACATCACGTGCAGATGTACGCAGCTAGAAAGGCCTGCTGTTACGGAACATGAATAGGCGATAAAGTAGGAGAATCCGGGCCTTTTGACTAACTAGAATTTGCCACCGATATGACAACCGAAACTGTTGTTGTAACATACAAAAATCAACACTGGTCCCTAGTATTCTCCTTCTCAGCTTTCTCTATCGCAACATCGATTTTATCAAATGTTCACCGTGGCGTAAGTTACGAATACTGCTATACAGTAAATGGTATATAATGCATTTTTGTAAAAGCGAACGACGCCAACGTACAATTTACGTTGCGTGACAATTAAAATTTGGCCTTTTCAAATAATTCATGAGGTCAATATTAATAGAATTCTGCACGCATATTCTGTCGTTATTTTCAGAAAAAGAGAAATGACGACTAAACATTAGCTACCCCTTCCGACAAAATGACGTGATGGCCTATATAAGGCACTGAATGAGAGAGGAGCAGTACCAGCTTTGGATTTGGATTGAGCATGAAATATTTTCGCGTCGTCTACCATTTGATACACGATAAATTCTGTCGTACATGAATAGTCTCACAAGTGTTGCTGACGCAACGATTTTGACGTCCAAGACTCTAATGGATGAAAGCGGGCACTGAAACCAAACTAAGTAAGATAGTTACTTTTTCCCAACCGATTTCTAAGTTAGGAGGAAATATTTCGATGCTTTTTCATGATAATTTTTGTGGCAATATAATCTATGTGCTATACTTAAATATCGTCAACTGGTCCCTTAACGCTGTTCGTGCGCACCGAACTGGCTTTTGGGGGCAGTGGAATCGCTTTTACCAAACCCACTTCAATTGCAACACTAGCTCTATTAAACAGATCACCGGGATGAGTACTAAGCAGATAAATTTTGAAAAAGTTACGAAAAGTTGCAAAATCGGTAGTCTAGTCCGTGAGAAATTGAATCTTCACTTAGATGCGTCAGCTTAGATACACCTGACTGACGTAAAAGCCGTGTACGGATTAACGAGATAAGGATTTCGCTAGAATGAGCTACCTTTAAAGTTGTTTGTACACTGGGTAATCTGTGCTACTGTGCACTCCAAATTGACCATTTATAGAATGATAACTTTTTAATTTTGCAAATTTCAATCAGCGGAGGCCAGACGCTTCGTTAAAGAAGAAATATGATGAAATATCGGCGAAACAGGAAATGTTCTCTACTATTGAAATTTTCGGCGAAACTAAGTTTAATAGCCAGCCGAAATATAGTAGAGGTAATAGTATAAAAGTGAACGAAATGCATCATTAGTTAAAGGGTCAATATAAAACAATACAGAATTATGCAATACTAGTAATGAAACTACGCTACCTCGATTACCGGTTATGATATTGGGTTTTGTTTTTATTTATCAGTTTTTTTTTTAAGGGTTGAAGACAAATTCGTCAATCTTGTACTTTCGGGTCAAGAAAACCTTGCGCTTAAGGGGTAAAATACCCGATCAGTTGTGTCCAATGCCATAATCGTAATATATATTCAATGAACATCTACTATTTAAAACATTCAGGATAGAAGCAACGATTTCTCGGCTGGCTTCTATGCATGATGATGTTTGGTAGACGCGGTGAGCCTTTTTCTTTTGTAAAAGCCGTCTGCTGCATTTAGGACCTTTCATTGTCGAGATTGCTCTGCTGTGTCGCCTACGATTACAGCGATCTCATCTCTTTTTTTTCTAGATTTTAGATAGGTTTTTTTTATTTTGTGTTTTTTTTTGTTTTTCTATTTTTTTTTTTTATAGATTGATGGTGAACGCTGGAAGGGTCATCTTTTATTCAGATTGTTATCTACCATAAGTGATATTTTAGCGCTTTTTTTGGCCATCCTTAGTCCTATGCTATGCGGGTATTTATAAGAGATGCCTCTAAGAGTACGATCACTGCTTTTCTAAAACATTTCTGTACTCAAGAAAATGTAGTATTAAAACAGTTCTATGCTTTAGATCGGGTATATCTGTAAATGGGCATTTGACAAATCGGCGATCAGAGAAGGCTGCATTTACATAACCCTAATAGAAGTTTTGCACAGACTGAGAGCAAAGCCTTTCCCGAGATACGAATTTTTTAATCAACATTCGTATATTCAGAGGCAGCTTAAGCCCAGTCCCAATTTTTTATATTGTGGTACTCACAAGAATCACGAGACGCTAATAAGGTAAACTAGAAGTGTCCATATCTATATTTACATACATATGAAATAAAGACTTCCTTACGGCTGTGTCATTTTAGATTCCACTGTAGGCATTGCTCTATGCGCCAACATGTAGAAACCACTACCTTGAAGGATATTTAGCAAAAGGTGAGCTACCGCACTTGTTGTGCCTATACCAACAGACACTCTGCACCCTGTCTACTTCCTACGTACACCAGATGATCTGCTTGTTCTATTCGATGTTTGCTAAATATCTCTATGCCGCAAAGTCAGTTGATTCGGTCTACTTTATCCTTCGGTTTTTTTCCAATCGCTTATATCGTTGCTGTTTATCTGCGTCAGCCCTGTCGTTTCGTTGATTAAGATCCCACATTGAGGCCGTAATATTGCAATTGCTGGCGTTCCTTCATATCTCAAAATCGACGTCTTCTATAGTAATACATCATTTCAGTTTACTTTTACATGCGTAGTACAGCCCTATGCTCACTGAGAACGATGTTAGATCAGCAAGGCGTTCAATGACCTATGTTTAATCTAGTTCTACAAGAAAAACTAATCTACCGTGTTTCTTTAGAAAATCTAGCGTTTAGTAAGTTGTTCGTATTGGACTGTCAATAATGCCGTTCTTATTCCGTACACGTGCCTTAAATGATAATCTTCATCAACGCAGCAATAAATTACCATGATTTTGTGTTAGTGAAGATGACCGTTACTGCTTTCCACCTATGATTTGATTCTTCCCGGTGGCCGCTCCTATTTCAAACAGTATCTAATACATTTTTGTATTAACATATATATATATATACGCATCGTGTATATATATATACACGATGCGTCTGCTACTATCTGGTCGATTACTTCGTCGCGCCAATTTGGTCAGGCCACAGGGCAGAGCATGGGAATGGCTGCTGTGTGCCATAACTTTTTTTTAGCAAACGCATACCCTGAGTGCGGATCTGAGTGCTATAGTTATTTTCTTTTGTTCTTTTATTGTTCCCCCGTCTGTTCCTATCCTTTCTGAGACAGATCAACATCTGCCGGCGTTTGGTGTGTCATCAAGCCTTTCTGTTCTATCTTTTTTATATTACTGCTGCCGAACTATGACTGCTGCTCTATGCTAGCAGTCGCAAGAAATGGTCGACAATTGACGACAACTGTCACGAAACGAACGCAGTGAGGCAGAGGAGAAACGGGCAGGTCAGGAAAAAACGGGACATCTTCCGTTATAAGTGGTCAAATGAGCGAGCCAATAATGAGAACCGTTGCTGTGGGCAACAACAAAGGTGCGACAAAATGAACGGCCACCAACTGAGTGAAGCACGCTAGTCCTTTTGTTGTTCTGTGTCTTGCTGCTGCTGCTGCTGTTTGGGTCGATTGACGTCTTAGCATAGCGCTGTTTTTACTAGTAGCGAGTCTTCAGATGAGTGGCCTAGCAGAGACAGCAGCACCCAGTGGGGCTGGAGTGGGCAGCCACATAGATTGCTCATGTTTCATGCCAGCTCGACACAGCCGAGGTTGGTGGCCCCAGCAACATTGATCATTGCCATCGCTTTCAACCGTGTGTCGCTTACGATCATCACTGTTAGTATATACAATATACTAAATAATATTATATATATAATAAACATTGGTATACAACGAATATGGACTAGTTGAGCGAGCTTGATTGCTCTTAGTCGAATTGGTCGATCTCATGGGATTAATAGCGACCGTTCTTCTTGCCTCTCTTTGTTTGTACTTCCTCAACTTTTTAGCGGATCCTTTCCATTCGGCAACACCGGATTTCGGCTGCCAATTGGCTGGGATCAGTTCGACAAAAGACATAAGCAAATATACAGATGGGTGGACACACTCACAGGATAGATACATTCGATTTGTGAAGACAATCAGTTGCCTAATGTCATAAACCTGGCCCGAATACCTGAAACTCATAGACAAAACAAACTGTAATGGGAAATCATAGTCAGCACGGGAAAGGCAAAGAGGCAATTGTTCTAGTTGTTGCTACAAACATTCGAAACTAGCGAAATTCTACACTAGTAGTAACAAATATGTAGCAATCAGAGTTTCTCATAAAACCCATTTTTAGTCAATGGTCGGCTTTGTTATAGAACCTGTGTGGGACAAACGCAGACATCCTTGGAGTCATTCAGAAGCCCACTTCCTAAGAGGGAACAGCATAAAGGAAACACAAATGACAATGCTGACCATATACACCGACGCAGCCATTACTACTTTTGTTCCCTTTCGTTTTTCATCCTTCCTGGACGTCGTCGATAGGTTTAGGTGGTGCCATCTTGCTGAAGGGACTGAACGCGTAGCAAAACAGTAAAAAAGCAAAAAAGTGTCCGCGTGGGTGATCCTTTTTTCCGCGGAGAGTTCTAGAAACATTATCGTATTAACGACAACGATGGCTACAGAACATCTACTATACGGAAAACATATTGCACTGCAATTTTCTATAATGATAATGGCTCTATAGCAAAAGGTAGAAGCAAAGCAGAACAGGTGATTCAGACAAATGAATCGAGGCAAACATGACCAGCAGTCATAGCGTAGAAGATGACAGCTAGCTAAACTAGGTTAAACTAGGCTTGTTGTATAGAAAGATGGCCTTTTTTCAGGCACGAATCGTACATCATATGTACAGTACGTACTGCTTTGAGGAGGCTAGGACAACTTGAGTTCGCTCATTCACTGCTTTTGCCACCGAGTAAAAGGCATTAAGCTGCTAGCTTGCGCTGTATGGTCCCACATGAATGAGTACGAGACTCACAAAACGAGAAGTACTATAAGCATCTTTATTTTTCAATTATTAGTTGTGTATGTGCTGCCCAACTTATCTAGATTACTTCGCACCGCTAGTAATACCAGTGGCGATATATCCGTACATCAAACAGATCTGCAGATCTACGTACTCTCCAGGGCCTATTCGCTGCAGAAAATGGATTTACATTGTCGGACTCGCATCGGAAGGTAGTTTCTCAAGTGTCCTTTACATCTGGCAGCCAGCTCAGCTTTTTCAAAGTAAGCCATTGAATATCTCGATGGTTTCAGAATTTGCAGGAAAACATGATAAGCTTAGTTAGTAGATATTAACGGCGTAATCAGGGAAGTGTTTCATCGATTTGGAAGAAGTTGACCCGCAGGCTTTTTTTTCTCGTCATGAGCGAGTAGCGTCTATTAGTCCGGCTCAAGTGTGTTCTTACTAATATTACTGGTAATATTTCACAATTCTATCCTTCATTCATCGATGAATTGGGTACGCTCAGCGCACTAGCGTTATTTTTCTACGTTTACTCCGGTTTCTTTAGAAGCATCTCAAAGATACTATGGATATTAGTTTTAGATAAATCATCGACACAAAGATCCCAAAAGTTTTTGGTAACACAGTCCAGCGCAGGAAGATTCACGTTAGGATAGTGCAAAACGGGGCATGGACCACAAAACAGATATGAAAGGCCAAATTTTCTCATAGCCATTACAATTATGAGCAAAATTGTAGCTATATTAAAAGTAGGAAAGCATTATATATTCGAAACATTTCTACCTGAGCTAATGCTAGCCAGGGAAGCAGCAGACAAACCTACATTCGATCCTGGGAATATTAAACAATTTAGCGGCTGGCTAATAAGCAAACGCTCTGTAGTCTACTTCAATCCATTTTACTGTTAATACCTAACATTATTTAGAATGGCTTCGACTGTAGTAATAATGGTAACGGTATCCCCGGTGGCGCCACTGACGAACTTGTACGAAACCTCCAGGACAGGCAGATAGGCAACAAAGGGGGGGGGGGGGGGGCAATCAGCTATTAGTTGATTTCAGAACGGAGCGTTCAGGCGAAAAAAGCGTTTTCAGTGTACGCATAAGAACGAACCTGAGGTAACGTGAGCCAATTTATGCTTGTAAGGTCAGCGCGTGTGTGTGTGTGTGTGTGAGTGTGTGTGTGTGTGTGTGTGTGTGTGTGTGTCTGTGTGTGTGTGTGTGTGTCTGTGTGTGTGTGTGCGCGTGCGTGCGTGCGTGCGCACGCACGCGCGAGATTAATCTACAACCCCCTACTCCTTGACGCAAGAATAAAAATCCCAGTCCACTTAAGAAGACAGGTAGCGCAAATACCCTTCGAGCTATTGAGTAGTTGTCCATATGCGTGTCATTCCCTATGATAAATATTCTGCTAGGCTCGCAAATTTCCCATATTTTCGCCAGCCAAGCTAGCCTTCAGCGGGGCCTCAAATTGATATTCTATTGGTTATATGTCAACGACATTTTTTGATTTTAGCAGCGCGTTACGCTTTTATGTCGGACGGTAGCTCACCATGAACAAATCGAAGTTCCAACTTCGACATGCCTCACGGAACAGTCGCTAATGATTGTTAATCAGCGTGACCGAGTATGCCACTGTATTGATTGTGTGAAAAATCGGGCTGAAGTAATGCGGAAAACAGCTGTAATATAGTGTTCCTTTTAGGTAGCATGCGTCCCTAGAGACTGCGCTAGAAACTGTATGATACTCGAAGAAAGTTGCTCAGAGTGACAGGACGAGACTACTGCATGATACGATGAAGCATAATACGATCGGAGAAAATAGTTGGCCCTGGTTATTATCGCCAATATTTGCGTAAATAATGCAAAGATAAAAAAAATACTCAAATGCAAGATGCAATACTAGAACTTCCGTATAAAATGGCTAGCCAATTCTTCTCTATTTATCCAGGATTTCGGCTAGTCACCGTTTTAGGTCAACAATCAATCGAAAAGCGTTTGTCGGAAGTCATACGACAAAAAAGGCCAACCAGCCAACCACACTTTGTACTTTAAGTTATGTCGATGATGCACTTATCGGCAAAATGGATTTTATAAGACGAATCATCCTTCACTCTCGAATACAGTCGTATTAAATACTTGCTTCATTTCTAGCTCCAGCCGCACATGTTCGCAGCAGCGATAAATGTTTGCTGCCCGAAAAGAGTGACTAGCGTTTACCAGCGAGAGGTGCGGCGTTGAGATAAGTTCGGTCATGCTTTCCTCTTACCTAACATTCTGTCATTTAACGCTTAGGCTGAGAATCACCCTAAACCCAATATGCTGATGTATGGTTAGGCCTAGTCCATAGCAAAAAGGCTCTAATTGCAGCTGTGACGGTACACGCCAACCCTTGGCGACCATATCGTTGTCTATTGTTGAAAGTTACTGCAGGAAGTATTTATCTAGCGGCTAACCAGCCTCGAACGTCAGTGCGGAACGGCGGTTACGAGAGACACGAATGCACCGAACTCTTTCAGCCAACAGTCTGACGAAATTTTTTGGATACGCTTGTGAACGTATACAGACGACGTTGTCGGTTTTATCCAGTTGATATAGATAGACGATTGTTCAAAAGTGCTTCTCATCCCGAACTCGTAGTCATCCTGAATAGAGACAGACGCAGACACTCAAGCACTGCTAGCAACAACTGTGTCGTCACTGCCGGGCTGCTGTCTGTGAAAGGGCATCAACGAATTGAGTTGTTGAGATGGATCAAAGCACGCGCGAAACGAGGCGAAAACGCCCTATAGACATTGCTCGCCTATTTTACCAGGTCTACTCCACGGTGACATAGGAGATGGTCAAAGGACGGCCACTACTTGTCGAAATCGGCATCATTTGCAATTAAATGTTAGTAGTAGAGACCTTGTAAAGCCCGCTGGCCACAATGCTACGAAAACAACAACCGGAGCCAAAACAAAGGACATAAATAACAACCAATTGTTCTTGATGAGAGAATTAGGTTACTTTAGCTAACTGTGTGGCCTAAGAGCAAAGCCTCGGAAATCTTGTTTTTCCGCGAACAACGTCTGTCAGCGCGAACACTGTGAACGTTTTCAGTATTTGAGCCGATTGCATCTATTCTCGGCCGTGCAGTTTGTGTTGAATGGCAGCTTAAGGGCTTCCAGTTGTGCTTGTCGCGGCTACCCAAACGTAGTTCCTTATTCTCTATTGAGATATGCCAGTGGTAATCAGAAGCATTTCTTCATAGGAGTAACGAAACTACTGCACCAGCTCAAGTTGGTATGTAGTAAAAAGGACATGAAAAACTTTACGAAACGTAAATTTTCTCAACTCAAGGGCGACGACTGTTATATTGTTGTGCAGCGGGTGGACGAAAATGCCTCTTTGCAAAATGTTTCCGAATGTGGAGATTAGCAGCAGATACGTCTGCCTGGACATCGCAGATTGGCGTAGTGCAATCACTTCTATATATACGTATATGTAACTAGTCTGTAAACAAACGGCGTTTATTAAATAGACACATGAGAGAATACATCCCTGTTTGCGGGCTTGTTAAGTTATGTCAAATTGGAGGTTCTGATGTGTACGATTGACGAAAGTTCCGATCTGAAAAGTAGCTCCATCGCAACGAGGTGCTGTATGCTTTTCGGTTTTGTTTTTTTATCGGAAAAATAAGGTATATTCATTGGACTCAACTCATAATATCAATATTCAAGAGACCATTCTAACCCTACTCAAGTCTATATATAGAAGATTTACGACTACAGGTATCGAGTCACACAGTATAGACAATTTACTAAACGAAGATGTCAGACTCATACGACGTCGTTGAAGTTTTTTTGCCGTATACGGTTCGGGTTTGCAAAAATTGGTCGGACTGCATGTTCCTTCTGTTTCCTAATTTTCTAAGGATATGCATAAGTGACAAAGTAAAGGATGATTTAGTGGCACCGCTCGCGGCTTAAATCAACAGAAGTGTCGAAGGCATAATTACCCCATCACCAGTTTGTCACAACTAATTGTTAATCTAACACTACTAATCTATAATCTGTTTTGATTTGCCTCGAGTGCCACGTTTAATACCTAAGGATTGATAGGTATTATTACGATATTTTTAGAGTAGTAATAATACTAATTCTAACTATGACACAGTTTTTAATGCTGACTGCATTATTTAAAAAGAGGTTGTATCAACCCAGTTAATCAATGGTTGTTTTTTTACGTCAAACAAGCGTGTGATTGTTGATGTTACTTTCATTCATTCAAAAGTAACGCTTTCCCGTTGGAAAGCATATTTAGGAGACTAAGTAATAATAGATAATAGTTGCTTTAAACTACGCGAAATGAGTGAAAAGAAGTAGGGCAGAACAAAAACCAACACAATCCATTGACAGCAGTAGTTACCGGTGTAGTCCCGTCCAGCATAGGACGTATAAACCGACGCAATTACTTATTCAATGCAATATCACATGTATCGATGGTCTTCGAGCGATACGTAAAAATCGTTCCGACTAACTGCGTGCATACGAGAATAGCTGGGAGTCAATTTAAGACAACGTATTTGTATGTTGTGCTAATGGAAGACGTCAGATACGACCTACGTCTGATTTAAGCTCTGAAGAACAGAGAACGAGGACCCCCCAGGGTGAGATAACGGCTAGAAAAAGCAGCAAGAACGAGAAGGCGAGGGCAGGCAGAAAACGGGGACGAAGCACAAAAAATAAAATAGGTGTAGGAGCCAAAGTCGGTAATAACTACAGAAAAGGGTACGTCCGAACGTAGGAGGAGGCAAGTATAAGACCATAAAGCACAGTAGAACATAATCGTAACACAGAGCATCGAAGAGGGAGAAGGCGAACAAAAGGAAGACCAGGGTAGGACAACAAGCCTGCGATATCTTCCCTGGCGACGGACGATGCTTACGGCCGCCTCTATAGTTGTTCCTTTTGTTGCTAATGCTGGTACCGAAACTTTCACAATTGAGACTTTCACAAGAGATAATTTTCGCCGCTGTTCTGTTGATCCCATTGCCGAATAGGGGTTTTGTTGGGGGTAACGAAAGCGGCGGTAATGGTAGCTTGTGCTAAGTAGCGCTAGTATGGGAAGAAAGAGAAGGCCTATTCTATACCTACTGGCAGGCGAAACCAAAGCGACCAGCACACTGAAACCACTATCGATGTGGCCGATGCTATTGCAGCCGCAGCAGGCGCATTAAAGAACGAGCAAGAGACAATGAACCACTGGACCTTCACGATGATGATAGCGGCAGCGGACGGTTTCAGTCAAGAGTTGATAATCACCCGGCTTCTTTCTCAGGTTATGCTTGTTAATGCTGAAAACCTTCTTCCACCGCGGAGCAGTAGCTCAAACAACGATTCTAACAAGACGCTATCAACGATGGCGTTGATGACGATAAATGTCAGTTTTCACAGGTCGAAATGGGCACCATGACTTCGAGTGTTAGAACTGTAGAGTGAAAGCAAATATTGTCTTTGCCATTAAAAGCTTGCTATAGCGATCATAAGTCATTAGCCAGTACACGATGTCGGAAACAGGTATGGAACCAATGGGCAAGAGAAGAGTTCGGAGCTTTTTGATACTGAAAGACAATCTCCTATATGATCCGGCAATAACAGAAAGATGAGATAAAAGACGGAAAATTTTTAAATAGATGGGAAAGACAACCTCATCGACGACCTCCGAGAGCCTACCAGATGATAATGCGGCCATTACCGACAGGCAAATGTTATACCCTATATCCAATTGGTGTACTCGAAAAAAAAAAATAATACGAATAATAACAATTACGAAATGTCGGCGCTCTGTCAGGAAGAAAACGGTGAAGACCGAGCTTCCTTGATTGGTATCAGTATTAATTAACTCCGGTTCGTGTGCACGTTCCATAGTCACCTCCACGCGGATTGGCAAGCCGTTCGCGTTTTTAGGCTCATAGGTAGCCGGTGAATCAGCATGAGATGTTCATTTGCGCCTTATAACCAGCACCAAAGTACGAAACGCAACGTTGCAGTTCATGCTGATTATAATAATTGATAATAATTGATATTATATACAATTAATAATAATAAATAAATAAAAAAAAAAATAAAAAATAATACAACAATAATTGATTGCGTATGTTGAACAACAACCTAATCCGGCTTGACATTGGCCCAACACTGGACAGTTATGGTCAAGCAGTTGCGCTACCTATTTTGCAGAAACAGTCTTAGTGTTTCCATTGAAGAATGCTAATCAATTTCTGCCTCGAAAGTCAGAAGTTAAAAATTCTTCAGCTATTTACCTACGTGTGCAGTTTTCCTTAAGGACTGCGTGTTAGGCTGAAATGAAGCTGTTGTCCCTGTCATTATACGTTAACAGCGGTTATAATATACTGGCGAGGTCAGCAGTCAACAGGTAAATGTGCACTTTTCTAAATCGTGCTTATCACCGAGAGAACCAGCGGTGGAACCTGCGATGGAAGCGCCGAGAACTACGCAAAGCGTGTTGGTAATCGTAGCCGTTGCTGTTATCATTGGCACTATACACTTCACCATCGCTGAAGCTCTGTATCTACCTGTGCATACGAGAATAAGTCCAAGTTTTAGAATAGACTGTTCTTAGCAGGGTGGTGCTATTGTTCAGTCGTTTACAACGGCGAGCACAAGCATACGCACACGCTAGTTTATCCTTCGGCTCCGCTGCTCCTGCCGCTACGGCCACGTGCAGTATGAACAACAAACGCTAACGACGATAATAGCAAATACAGTGGTACCCACTTATGTAACAACGGACATCACGTGCAGATGTACGCAGCTAGAAAGGCCTGCTGTTACGGAACATGAATAGGCGATAAAGTAGGAGAATCCGGGCCTTTTGACTAACTAGAATTTGCCACCGATATGACAACCGAAACTGTTGTTGTAACATACAAAAATCAACACTGGTCCCTAGTATTCTCCTTCTCAGCTTTCTCTATCGCAACATCGATTTTATCAAATGTTCACCGTGGCGTAAGTTACGAATACTGCTATACAGTAAATGGTATATAATGCATTTTTGTAAAAGCGAACGACGCCAACGTACAATTTACGTTGCGTGACAATTAAAATTTGGCCTTTTCAAATAATTCATGAGGTCAATATTAATAGAATTCTGCACGCATATTCTGTCGTTATTTTCAGAAAAAGAGAAATGACGACTAAACATTAGCTACCCCTTCCGACAAAATGACGTGATGGCCTATATAAGGCACTGAATGAGAGAGGAGCAGTACCAGCTTTGGATTTGGATTGAGCATGAAATATTTTCGCGTCGTCTACCATTTGATACACGATAAATTCTGTCGTACATGAATAGTCTCACAAGTGTTGCTGACGCAACGATTTTGACGTCCAAGACTCTAATGGATGAAAGCGGGCACTGAAACCAAACTAAGTAAGATAGTTACTTTTTCCCAACCGATTTCTAAGTTAGGAGGAAATATTTCGATGCTTTTTCATGATAATTTTTGTGGCAATATAATCTATGTGCTATACTTAAATATCGTCAACTGGTCCCTTAACGCTGTTCGTGCGCACCGAACTGGCTTTTGGGGGCAGTGGAATCGCTTTTACCAAACCCACTTCAATTGCAACACTAGCTCTATTAAACAGATCACCGGGATGAGTACTAAGCAGATAAATTTTGAAAAAGTTACGAAAAGTTGCAAAATCGGTAGTCTAGTCCGTGAGAAATTGAATCTTCACTTAGATGCGTCAGCTTAGATACACCTGACTGACGTAAAAGCCGTGTACGGATTAACGAGATAAGGATTTCGCTAGAATGAGCTACCTTTAAAGTTGTTTGTACACTGGGTAATCTGTGCTACTGTGCACTCCAAATTGACCATTTATAGAATGATAACTTTTTAATTTTGCAAATTTCAATCAGCGGAGGCCAGACGCTTCGTTAAAGAAGAAATATGATGAAATATCGGCGAAACAGGAAATGTTCTCTACTATTGAAATTTTCGGCGAAACTAAGTTTAATAGCCAGCCGAAATATAGTAGAGGTAATAGTATAAAAGTGAACGAAATGCATCATTAGTTAAAGGGTCAATATAAAACAATACAGAATTATGCAATACTAGTAATGAAACTACGCTACCTCGATTACCGGTTATGATATTGGGTTTTGTTTTTATTTATCAGTTTTTTTTTTAAGGGTTGAAGACAAATTCGTCAATCTTGTACTTTCGGGTCAAGAAAACCTTGCGCTTAAGGGGTAAAATACCCGATCAGTTGTGTCCAATGCCATAATCGTAATATATATTCAATGAACATCTACTATTTAAAACATTCAGGATAGAAGCAACGATTTCTCGGCTGGCTTCTATGCATGATGATGTTTGGTAGACGCGGTGAGCCTTTTTCTTTTGTAAAAGCCGTCTGCTGCATTTAGGACCTTTCATTGTCGAGATTGCTCTGCTGTGTCGCCTACGATTACAGCGATCTCATCTCTTTTTTTTCTAGATTTTAGATAGGTTTTTTTTATTTTGTGTTTTTTTTTGTTTTTCTATTTTTTTTTTTTATAGATTGATGGTGAACGCTGGAAGGGTCATCTTTTATTCAGATTGTTATCTACCATAAGTGATATTTTAGCGCTTTTTTTGGCCATCCTTAGTCCTATGCTATGCGGGTATTTATAAGAGATGCCTCTAAGAGTACGATCACTGCTTTTCTAAAACATTTCTGTACTCAAGAAAATGTAGTATTAAAACAGTTCTATGCTTTAGATCGGGTATATCTGTAAATGGGCATTTGACAAATCGGCGATCAGAGAAGGCTGCATTTACATAACCCTAATAGAAGTTTTGCACAGACTGAGAGCAAAGCCTTTCCCGAGATACGAATTTTTTAATCAACATTCGTATATTCAGAGGCAGCTTAAGCCCAGTCCCAATTTTTTATATTGTGGTACTCACAAGAATCACGAGACGCTAATAAGGTAAACTAGAAGTGTCCATATCTATATTTACATACATATGAAATAAAGACTTCCTTACGGCTGTGTCATTTTAGATTCCACTGTAGGCATTGCTCTATGCGCCAACATGTAGAAACCACTACCTTGAAGGATATTTAGCAAAAGGTGAGCTACCGCACTTGTTGTGCCTATACCAACAGACACTCTGCACCCTGTCTACTTCCTACGTACACCAGATGATCTGCTTGTTCTATTCGATGTTTGCTAAATATCTCTATGCCGCAAAGTCAGTTGATTCGGTCTACTTTATCCTTCGGTTTTTTTCCAATCGCTTATATCGTTGCTGTTTATCTGCGTCAGCCCTGTCGTTTCGTTGATTAAGATCCCACATTGAGGCCGTAATATTGCAATTGCTGGCGTTCCTTCATATCTCAAAATCGACGTCTTCTATAGTAATACATCATTTCAGTTTACTTTTACATGCGTAGTACAGCCCTATGCTCACTGAGAACGATGTTAGATCAGCAAGGCGTTCAATGACCTATGTTTAATCTAGTTCTACAAGAAAAACTAATCTACCGTGTTTCTTTAGAAAATCTAGCGTTTAGTAAGTTGTTCGTATTGGACTGTCAATAATGCCGTTCTTATTCCGTACACGTGCCTTAAATGATAATCTTCATCAACGCAGCAATAAATTACCATGATTTTGTGTTAGTGAAGATGACCGTTACTGCTTTCCACCTATGATTTGATTCTTCCCGGTGGCCGCTCCTATTTCAAACAGTATCTAATACATTTTTGTATTAACATATATATATATATACGCATCGTGTATATATATATACACGATGCGTCTGCTACTATCTGGTCGATTACTTCGTCGCGCCAATTTGGTCAGGCCACAGGGCAGAGCATGGGAATGGCTGCTGTGTGCCATAACTTTTTTTTAGCAAACGCATACCCTGAGTGCGGATCTGAGTGCTATAGTTATTTTCTTTTGTTCTTTTATTGTTCCCCCGTCTGTTCCTATCCTTTCTGAGACAGATCAACATCTGCCGGCGTTTGGTGTGTCATCAAGCCTTTCTGTTCTATCTTTTTTATATTACTGCTGCCGAACTATGACTGCTGCTCTATGCTAGCAGTCGCAAGAAATGGTCGACAATTGACGACAACTGTCACGAAACGAACGCAGTGAGGCAGAGGAGAAACGGGCAGGTCAGGAAAAAACGGGACATCTTCCGTTATAAGTGGTCAAATGAGCGAGCCAATAATGAGAACCGTTGCTGTGGGCAACAACAAAGGTGCGACAAAATGAACGGCCACCAACTGAGTGAAGCACGCTAGTCCTTTTGTTGTTCTGTGTCTTGCTGCTGCTGCTGCTGTTTGGGTCGATTGACGTCTTAGCATAGCGCTGTTTTTACTAGTAGCGAGTCTTCAGATGAGTGGCCTAGCAGAGACAGCAGCACCCAGTGGGGCTGGAGTGGGCAGCCACATAGATTGCTCATGTTTCATGCCAGCTCGACACAGCCGAGGTTGGTGGCCCCAGCAACATTGATCATTGCCATCGCTTTCAACCGTGTGTCGCTTACGATCATCACTGTTAGTATATACAATATACTAAATAATATTATATATATAATAAACATTGGTATACAACGAATATGGACTAGTTGAGCGAGCTTGATTGCTCTTAGTCGAATTGGTCGATCTCATGGGATTAATAGCGACCGTTCTTCTTGCCTCTCTTTGTTTGTACTTCCTCAACTTTTTAGCGGATCCTTTCCATTCGGCAACACCGGATTTCGGCTGCCAATTGGCTGGGATCAGTTCGACAAAAGACATAAGCAAATATACAGATGGGTGGACACACTCACAGGATAGATACATTCGATTTGTGAAGACAATCAGTTGCCTAATGTCATAAACCTGGCCCGAATACCTGAAACTCATAGACAAAACAAACTGTAATGGGAAATCATAGTCAGCACGGGAAAGGCAAAGAGGCAATTGTTCTAGTTGTTGCTACAAACATTCGAAACTAGCGAAATTCTACACTAGTAGTAACAAATATGTAGCAATCAGAGTTTCTCATAAAACCCATTTTTAGTCAATGGTCGGCTTTGTTATAGAACCTGTGTGGGACAAACGCAGACATCCTTGGAGTCATTCAGAAGCCCACTTCCTAAGAGGGAACAGCATAAAGGAAACACAAATGACAATGCTGACCATATACACCGACGCAGCCATTACTACTTTTGTTCCCTTTCGTTTTTCATCCTTCCTGGACGTCGTCGATAGGTTTAGGTGGTGCCATCTTGCTGAAGGGACTGAACGCGTAGCAAAACAGTAAAAAAGCAAAAAAGTGTCCGCGTGGGTGATCCTTTTTTCCGCGGAGAGTTCTAGAAACATTATCGTATTAACGACAACGATGGCTACAGAACATCTACTATACGGAAAACATATTGCACTGCAATTTTCTATAATGATAATGGCTCTATAGCAAAAGGTAGAAGCAAAGCAGAACAGGTGATTCAGACAAATGAATCGAGGCAAACATGACCAGCAGTCATAGCGTAGAAGATGACAGCTAGCTAAACTAGGTTAAACTAGGCTTGTTGTATAGAAAGATGGCCTTTTTTCAGGCACGAATCGTACATCATATGTACAGTACGTACTGCTTTGAGGAGGCTAGGACAACTTGAGTTCGCTCATTCACTGCTTTTGCCACCGAGTAAAAGGCATTAAGCTGCTAGCTTGCGCTGTATGGTCCCACATGAATGAGTACGAGACTCACAAAACGAGAAGTACTATAAGCATCTTTATTTTTCAATTATTAGTTGTGTATGTGCTGCCCAACTTATCTAGATTACTTCGCACCGCTAGTAATACCAGTGGCGATATATCCGTACATCAAACAGATCTGCAGATCTACGTACTCTCCAGGGCCTATTCGCTGCAGAAAATGGATTTACATTGTCGGACTCGCATCGGAAGGTAGTTTCTCAAGTGTCCTTTACATCTGGCAGCCAGCTCAGCTTTTTCAAAGTAAGCCATTGAATATCTCGATGGTTTCAGAATTTGCAGGAAAACATGATAAGCTTAGTTAGTAGATATTAACGGCGTAATCAGGGAAGTGTTTCATCGATTTGGAAGAAGTTGACCCGCAGGCTTTTTTTTCTCGTCATGAGCGAGTAGCGTCTATTAGTCCGGCTCAAGTGTGTTCTTACTAATATTACTGGTAATATTTCACAATTCTATCCTTCATTCATCGATGAATTGGGTACGCTCAGCGCACTAGCGTTATTTTTCTACGTTTACTCCGGTTTCTTTAGAAGCATCTCAAAGATACTATGGATATTAGTTTTAGATAAATCATCGACACAAAGATCCCAAAAGTTTTTGGTAACACAGTCCAGCGCAGGAAGATTCACGTTAGGATAGTGCAAAACGGGGCATGGACCACAAAACAGATATGAAAGGCCAAATTTTCTCATAGCCATTACAATTATGAGCAAAATTGTAGCTATATTAAAAGTAGGAAAGCATTATATATTCGAAACATTTCTACCTGAGCTAATGCTAGCCAGGGAAGCAGCAGACAAACC